CTGATTTTAGTAGACTTATCTTCTAAGAAAAAAAGGTGGGGGGCGGAGTTAAAACTTGCTAAGGTAGGACTGAACAATATTAAGAGTAGTCCCTGGAATGAAGAAGGGGTGGGTGGGCGGGGCTAGTACTTGTTAAGATAAGATTGATTTTGTAAATGACATTTTCTAAGAAAAAAAAGGGTGGGTGAGCGGGGCTAAAATTTGCTACAGTAGGACTGGACAATATTAAGTCTAATCACTGGAACGAAAAAGGGGTGGGTGGGCGGGGCTACTGCTTGTCAAGATAAGATTGATTTTAGTAGACTTATCTTCTAAGAAAAAAGGGTGGGTAGGTGGGGATAAAACTTGTTAAGGTAGAACTGAACAATATTAAGAGTAGTTCCTGGAATGAAGAAGGGGTGGGTGGGCGGGGCTACTGCTTGTCAAGATAAGATTGATTTTAGTAGACTTATCTTCTAAGAAAAAAGGGTGGGTGGATGGGGATAAAACTTGTTAAGGTAGAACTGAACAATATTAAGAGTAGCTCCTGGAATGAAGGAGGGGTGGGTGGGCGGGGCTACTGCTTGTCAAGATAAGATTGATTTTAGTAACATATCTTCTAAGAAAAAAAGGGTGGGTGAGCGGGGCTAAAATTTGCTACGGTAGGACTGAACAATATTAAGAGTAATAACTGGAATGAAAAAGGGGTGGGTGGGCGGGGCTACTGCTTGTCAAGATAAGATTGATTTTAGTAGACATATCTTCTAAGAAAAAAAGGGTGGGTGAGCGGGGCTAAAATTTGCTACGGTAGGACTGAACAATATTAAGAGTAATCACTGGAATGAAAAAGGGGTGGGTGGGCGGAGCTACTGCTTGTCAAGATAAGATTTATTTTAGTATATATATCTTCTAAGAGAAAAAGGATGGGTGGGCGTTGCTAAAACTTGCTAAGGTAGGACTGAACAATATTAAGAGTAGTACCTGGAATGAAGAAGGGGTGGGTGGGCGGGGCTAGTACTTGTTAAGATAAGATTGATTTTAGTAGACATATTTTCTAAGAAAAAAAAGGTGGGTGAGCGGGGATAAAACTTGCTAAGGTGGGACTGAACAATATTAAGAGTAGTCCCTGGAATGAGGAAGGGGTGGGTGGGCGGGGCTAGTACTTGTTAAGATAAGATTGATTTTGCAAATGACATATTTTCTAAGAAAAAAAAAGGGTGGGGGGACGGGGCTAAAATTTGCTAAAGTAGGACTCAACAATATTAAGAGTAATCACTGGAACGAAGAAGGGGTGGGTGGGCCGGGCTACTGCTTGCTCATAAAACTAGAAAACAGCTACATTTAGCCCCGCCGAGTCCTTGCTCCATTTCACTGACTTATTTTATTTAGTATAAAATGGGAATTGAAAAATAACAGTATTGTAGTATTTGTAGTCCCCAAAATTTTTTCGGAAAATGGAGTGAGCCGTTCCTGATTTAGGGCCGGTTTATCAATGCTCAGTTAAAAGTATCTATTAAGTAACTGTCAGATAAGTATAACTGGCAGTTAACGGAGGTAAAGTGTTTATCAATGCGCGATGTTTCTTCCAGTTTCGTAGCTCGAAGTTTAGCTGTTACTCTCTTAAGTTGGTAACGCTGACCCCACTGGAAATGAGTTGTGATTGGTCAGTTCAAAACTACCCCGAACTTTAAAGTTCCATCAGATATGCAACGATTGTATATCGCGTTTCACATGATCAATCATGAAAAAGCAAAATTTAGCATTAGAAAAACAGTATTGGAAATTAAAAATGAAACAAGTAGGTACACCTATAAATAAATACACAGAGATCGAAAAAGAAATTAGTCAAAGTTGGCCATGCACGAAAAGCCGTTTGTCTTAGTTTAAAATAATTTTTTATTCAACGTCACGTTGACAAAAGTAATTTGCACTGTTATCAAACGAAATGAAAGCTTTTTACTTCCCGAGCGTAAGCAAAGGAAGTATTGTAATTGAGCCCGTCGGCTGACTCTCTACTTTTACGTTTTCTCGATCATTCATGACCCCTAGAAGACGAAGAAATAGGTCTCCCATTTCCGTCTGTCCGTCTGTCTGCCCGTCTGTCCGTTTGTCCGTCTGTCCGTCTGTTTGCCGTCCCGGATTTTTATTAGACAGATAATCTCCGAAAGTACTGGACCGATTGTTACGAAATTTTGTACTTATTTTAGGAATATCATGTAGATGGTAAAACGCTAACCAAAATTTGTCTAATCATCCCCACCACTAATGCGATGACGTCACTTTAAAATTGTACATAGTAAATGGGTCTTAAATTGTATAAAATAAAATAGTCCTATACATGTAGTTTACAACTCCGAATTGAGTTTTTACCCGAAACGTCCAGGTCAGCTCAAAAGTTTTCCGAATAAATCCTATCTAAAATGTACAAAATATGATGCGTCTGAACTTGTGATATATCACTCCATTCTTATTTTTTGGGTTTGCATATACACGGTGACTCAAAGAAATTAATGAATGCGCAAAATTTATTTTATTGATTTACTCAGGAACTACAAAACCGAATGCTTTGAAATCTTGAAGATGTTTTAAAATTATCATAAGCATGGTAAATTTTTGATCAAAATGTATTTGGTCCTCCCCCCTAAAAAATTTATGACGTCACCACAACATTTTGCTGAATGAATCCTATCAAAATATGATGCGTCTGTACTTGTGATATATCACTCCATTCATATTTTTTGGATTTGCATATACAGGGTGACTCAAAAAAATTAATGAATGCGCAAAATTTATTTTGCTGATTTATTCAGGAACTACAAAACCGAATGCTTTGAAATCTTGAAGATGTTTTAAAATTATCATAAGCATGGTAAATTTTTGATCAAAATGTATTTGGTCGTCCCTCCTAAAAAATTTATGACGTCACCACAAAATTTTGCTGAATAAATCCTATCTAAAATGTACAAAATATGGTGAGTCTCTTCTTGTGATTTATCATTCCATTCAAATTTTTTCGATTTGCATATACAGGGTGACTGAAAAAAATTAATGAATGCGTCAATTTATTTTATTGATTTAATCAAGAATTACAGAACCGAATGCTGTGAAATCTTGGAGATGTTTTAAAGTTATCATAAGCATGGCAAATGTTTTATCAACATTTATTTGCTCATCCCCCCTAAAAAAATTGATGACGTCACCCTAAAATTTGGTGAATAAATCCTATCTAAAATGTTAAAAACATGATGAGTCTGTACTTGTGATTTATCATTCCATTCATATTTTTGGATTTGCATATACAGGGTGCCTCAAAAAAATTAATGAATGCGTGAATTTATTTTATCGATTTAATCAGGAATTACAAAACTGAATGCTTTGAAATCTTGGAGATTTTTTAAAGTTATCATAAGCATGGTAAACTTTTGTTCAAAATGTATTTGTTCATCCCCCCTAAAAAAATTGATGACGTCACCCCTAAATTTTGCTGAATAAATCCTATCTAAAATGCAAAAAATAGGATGAGTTCGTATTTGTGATTTATCATTCCATTCATATTTTTTAGATTTGCTTAAGAGGTGGCTCAAAAAAATTAATGAAGTCAATTTATTTTATTGATTAAATTAAAGGCAACACTTATTATTAGTATTACATTGGACCAACCCAATTTGGTAGACACAAAATTTTGTAAAGTAAAAACTCGGTTGAAACATAAGGGTAGCACGCTTATTTATATTTACTTTAACATTACAGACGTGCATTTGTTTTGTGCGCTGACTAGGTTCCGCGAATGTAGTATAGACATGTTTATAATCAACCAATTGTGAATTCCACCGTCAAAAGTTAAAATAAAAGCCAATGTTTTATATAATAAGCGGAAGTCGAAGCAATAAAAATCTCTAGACGACCATCGGTTTTGTTTACAGTTTCTCTGTTTGACTCTCACGTATGCTATGTTACGCTTGTCGTCTTAAATTAAGAATGCTTATACATAAACGATTTTCAGTTGCCTCTCCTAGTACACGCCGACGCCGTATGCGTGAGTAAATTGTTTCGTTATTTTATAGATTATTACAAATCAATATTCAAAACGACCCAATTCATTTTCCCGAAAATTTGGGAATACAATAATTTTATTCTTAGTATTACACTACATCTATCCCAACTGATATACGTGTCCTTGCAAAAATGTTGATGACGTCATCGCAATTTTTTTTTTAAATTCCCACTACAAAAATGTAATGAGAAAAAAAAACACAATAGGCATGCAGTCGTCAAGTTTCCGACAGCGAGGGAAGTACTGTCTAAACTCTTTAGACCAATTTTTTGTTATTAGAATCTTACTTCAGAAATGGGATAAATTTTGGACAAAATTGTAAAACGGTGATTTTGATTCATTTTTATGTGTTTTAAACTGTCAATTTGACATTTAATAAAAAATTTAAATTACGACAAACGGCTTATCGTGCATGGCCAACTTCGATTAATTTCTTTTTCTATCTCGCGGTATTATTAGATAGGTTTTTTAATTTTTGGTAGCTACATTAGACCTGTAAAATAATCAGCTAATAATAAGTCTTTTTCTCATCTTTTCTCTGTCAATTTGTTCCGCAACATAGTCCTCATCAAAATATTGTTAAATTAATAACAGACTTATTTGGATTTGTTAGGTTATGTTGCCACTAACTGGTGGATACCGCTTTAACTGACAGTTTGAACTGTCAGTTAATTTATCAGGCACTTTGACCACTAGTTTTGAGCTAGCAGGTAATGACAAACAGGTTAACTAACAGAAAAGCTTTAACTGCCAGTTACTTTAACTTAACTGCGCATTGATAAACCGGCCCTTATTACTCAACAAAATAAATTTACCATGTTTACCATAACTTTAAAACCTTGGACCAATTTTTTCGTGAAGAACCTAAATCTTGTCATTCAATTTTTACAGAAAATTTAGGATAAAATCAAAATTATTTTTTTCTGAAAGATTTTTATTAACAGTATCAGTTACCATAATGGGGAAATTATTTTTCGAAAAGTTCGTCATACGGAACTTTTGCCAATAAATTGTTAAATATAGTCTCCACAATTTGACTGTATGCCTCTTCGTAACTGCTCTTTACATCAGCGAAAACTTCTTTCCAATTTTCATTCATAACCGAGTTGATGTTGTCACCCAAAGTTTTATCGCCATCGAACAAATTTTCCAACTTAAATTTTACCAAACCGGGTGTTAAAACCAATTTACCCTCAACCACTTTTAAATATTTCTGACCTTTCTTTTCGTATTTTTCCATAATAAACGTTTCCGTACCTGTTACGTTCTCTGAAAATACAGATATTATGTATATAATCTAGTCAAATTCGTTAAAAATACCCATTTTTATCGTGCTTGTCCCTTTACCGTACACCGGCAGCACCAAAATCTTCCCATTAACGTCATACTCGGCCACCGTTTTGACTTCGGCAAAAGTGCATTGTAGTAGAGCAATTTTTTTACCCAAATCGAACCTAAATAGCACACTTTTAGCACACACTTTTTCCACAATGCCAAACTTACTCGAATTTTGTGGTTTCCGGTTTACTGAATCCGTGCACTTTCATGTTTTTGAAATGTTGCACCAATCCCACAGCTCCCGTTCCGGCTCCGACGGTCAGTTCTGGAATTTCCAGCGGTTCCATAGATGGCAAACCCACGTCCCGAAAAGGCCGATTCAATTGCTCGATTGCGTCTTTCACGGCTTTCGACAGGCACTCGTTGAGGTCATTTTGGTTTCTGTTGCACTTTTTGAAAGTGGGGGCTGCAATAATAGTATTACTAGCGAATGGCAAAGAAAGCGAAAATTTTTTTACGCAATTTAGTGCAAGCGCATGCACTCAGCAGCAATAAGTAACCGAAAATAGCGCTATTCATCGTTGTAAATATTTTGTAGTTTTATGTATTGCGGGATTTTTCTTTTATATATTCCGACAAAACAACAAGAAAACAACTTAAGTTGAACTAGTTTCGAATTGCGTAAGAGTTGACATTGTCCTTCTAGTTTTTAGCAAATTTATCCCATTTTATATGTGTACAGGGTGTTTCATTTCATTGTACTTGCATTTTGGCTCGAATTTTTAGATAGACACTTGAAATGAAACACATTGTATATGTTAAACGATAAATAGTACCATTCAATTTCAGTGCTGTTGACTGTTGATTGTCGATTTTGACTCACTTTATTACGTGCGTAGGTAAAAATTTCCAGCAATTCTGACATACGGTTGGTATGAAACCCCCTGTATGTCTAAAATGTCAATGATATATTCTATTTCCATTTTAATTACTTAATTTTTTGCTTTTTTAATATGTTGTTTTTGTTTAATTAATTTTTTAGGTTATATAAAAAGGATAATAAAAACAAGTAGTATACATTATGCAAGATTTGTTTCAGAAGTAAAGGATAACTTTTTGTATCGATTGAAATTCTGTAGATTGGAAAATAAAATATCGTCACAAGAAATGTGAAGATGTTACAAATGAAAAATAAAGTTTTCAAATTTGAAAACTCTACCATCTTATTGTTCTTTCCTAGCAAGTGCTAGCCCCGTCCACCCGCCCTTTATTTTCTTAGGGAATACGTCATCTGCCAAAATCCGTCTTATTTTAGCAAAACTAGCCCCACCCACCCGCCCTTTATTTTCTTAGGGAATACGTCATCTGCCAATATCCGTCATATCTTACCAAATACTAGCTCCGCCCACCCGTCCTTTGTTTTCTTAGAGAATATATCATTTGCCAAAATCAGTCTATCTTGGCACTATTGTTTTAACTTTTGTGACGTGAAAATTTAAATGTATTTGCATTGACGTGCCATTTGTAAAATTTACTGTAGATAACTACTCGTAGAAAAATAAGGATTTTACAATTAAGCACCACCCCTCAGCGTACGACGAGTAAAAAAGAATCGTCAGAATTGAGACAGGGCGGGTGGGCGGGGCTTATATTTGGCCATGTTTTTCTAAATGTAGGTACATAGCCATCTTTCCATAACAAGAAACTTAAAGCGTGGTTAAAATGGTTTTTGCAAGGAAATATGGATTTTGAAACTATGGGGCGGAGTCTAATTGCAAAATCGATATTTCCTTATACAAATTTTCCATTTTAAACATGTTTTAAGTTTCAAAAAGGTAATAAGTTCGATTTTGTCAAATGACCCACCCGCCCTCTAAGAAAAGAGAGGGCGGGTGGGTGGGGCTTGTACCTATTAAGACTGATTTTGGCAAATGATATATTCTCTGAGAAATTTAATTAATTTTTTATAAGAAAAGACACTAGGGGCTCCAAAATACTGTCCAATTCTTTCCAAACAGGAGTAGAACTTGATTGTTTTAAATTTTTCAAAAAAAAGGGTCTTAAAATTAACTCAAAAACAGGTCAGGTCAGAATTTTCCAAAAATAGAACACCAAAGTATATATTTGAAAAGTGAAGGCTTAAAATACACTTCTGAGTTTTCTGTGACTAAAGAAAACTGTTAATGAAAAAATCCGCTTACGCTCAGGAAGTATAGTAATCGAGTCCGTCGGCCGACTCTCCACTTTTACGTTTTCCAGACCTTTCATGACACCTAGACTATGAAGAAATAGGTCTCCCTTTTCCGTCTGCCTGTCGGTCTGTTTGTCAGCCGTCACTGATTTTTATTAGACAGATAATCTCCGAAAGTACTGATGGTAAAACGCTAACCAAAATTTGTCTAATCATCCCCACCACTAATGTGATGACGTCACTTCAAAATTGTACATAGTAAATGGATTTTAAATTGTATCTAATAACATAGTCTTACACATGTAGTTTATTACTCCGAATTGAGATTTTACCCGAAACGTCCAGATTTTTTAGAAAAAAAAAATCAAAATTAGGAAACAACATTTTGACATTTAATTTGGAATCTGCAAAATCTATTGCTTTAAAATCTTGGAGATGTTTTACAGTTATCATAGACATGGTAAATTTTTAGTCAAAATATATTTCCTCATCCCCCCTAAAAAATTGATGACGTCACGTCAAAATTTTGCTGAATAAATCCTATCTTAAATGTGCAAAGTATGATGAGGCAATACGTGTGATTCCATTAATATTTTTTGGATTTGCATATACAGGGTGAGTTAAAAAAATTAATGAATGCGTAAAATTATTTTATTGATTTAATCAGGAACTGCAAAACCAAATGCTTTGAAACCTTGGAGATGTTTTAAAGTCATCCATGGTAAATTTTTGATAAAAATATATTTGCTCATCCTCCCCTAAAAAGTCGATCACGCCACCCCAAAATTTTTTCGAAAAAATGCTATCTTAAATGTGCATTGTGCAAAGTATGATGAGTCTATAATTGTGATTTATCACTGCATAAATATTTTTTAGATTTGCTTATACGGGGTGTGTGAAAAAAATTAATGACTGAGTCAATTTATTTATTGATTAAATCAAGAATTGCAAAACTGAATACTTTGAAATTTTGACGTTTTGAAGTTATTGTAAGCATGGTAACTTTTTAATGAAAATGTATCTGTTTATCAATCCCGAAAAATTGATTACGGCATCTCAAAATTTTGCCGAATAAATTCTTTCGCAAATGTGCAAAATATGAACAGACTTTTAATCATTGCATTCAAATTTTTTAGATTTGCTTAAACAGGTGACTCAAAAAAAATTAATGAATTAGTCAATTTGTTATTGATCAAATTAAGAACGAGTCGGGGCTCAAATCTGTTGTTTTTAATGGAAAACCTTCTCGGGGGCCCGAAATGTATTTTTTTTTAAATGTGAAACCTTCTCGGTGATCCCAATTGTCTATTTTAAAAATGTAAAACCTTCTCGTGGGCCCCAAACGTATTTTTTTAGGAATGTGAAACCTCGGGGCTCCCAATTATCTTTTTTAGAAATGTAAAACCTTGTCGGGGGTCCCAAACGTATTTTTTAAACAATGTGAAACCTTGCCGGGGTTCCCAATTATCTTTTTTTAAAAGGTAAAACCTTCTCGGGGGTCTCTGGCTATCTTTTTTAAAAATATAAAACCTTCTCGTGGGTCCCAAAAGATTTTTTTTAATAATGTGAAACCTTCTTGGTGGTCCCAATTGTGTATTTCAAAAATGTAAAACCTTCTCGGGAGCCCCAAATGTCTCCTTTTTTATGGGAAACCTTCTCGGGGGTCCCATCTGTTGTTTTTAATGGAAAACCTTCTCGGGAGCCCGAAATGTATTTTTTTAAAAATGTGAAACCTTCTCGGTGATCCCAATTGTCTATTTTAAAAATGTAAAACCTTCTCGGGGGCCCCAAACGTATTTTTTTGGGAATGTGAAACCTCGGGGCTCCCAGTTATGTTTTTTAGAAATGCAAAACCTTCTCGGGGTCCCAAACGTATTTTTTAAACAATGTGAAACCTTGCCGGGGGTCCCAATTATCTTTTTTTAAAAGGTAAAACCTTCTCGGGGGTCTCTAGCTATCTTTTTTAAAAATATAAAACCTTCTCGTGGGTCCCAAAAGATTTTTTTTAATAATGTGAAACCTTCTTGGTGGTCCCAATTGTGTATTTCAAAAATGTAAAACCTTCTCGGGAGCCCCCAATGTCTCCTTTTTTATGGAAAACCTTCTCGGGGGTCCCATCTGTTGTTTTTAATGGAAAACCTTCTCGGGAGCCCGAAATGTATTTTTTTAAAAATGTGAAACCTTCTCGGTGATCCCAATTGTCTATTTTAAAAATGTAAAACCTTCTCGGGGGCCCCAAACGTATTTTTTTAAGAACGTGAAACCTCGGGGCTCCCAATTATCTTTTTACTTCCCGAGCGTAAGCAAAGGAAGTATTGTAATCGAGTCCGTCGGCCGACTCTCTACTTTTACGTTTTCTCGATCTTTCATGACTCCTAGAAGACGAAGAAATAGGTCTCCCATTTTTTAGAAATGTAAAACCTTCTCGGGGGTCCCAAACGTATTTTTTAAACAATGTGAAACCTTGCCGGGGCTCGCAATTATCTTTTTTTAAAAGGTAAAACCTTCTCGGGGGTCTCTAGCTATCTTTTTTAAAAATATAAAACCTTCTCGGGGGTCCCAAAAGATTTTTTTTAATAATGTGAAATCTTCTTGGTGGTCCCAATTGTCTATTTCAAAAATGTAAAACCTTCTCGGGAGCCCCAAATGTCTCTTTTTTTATGGGAAACCTTCTCATGGGTCCCATCTGTTGTTTTTAATGGAAAACCTTCTCGGGGGCCCGAAATGTATTTTTTTTTAAATGTGAAACCTTTTTGGTGATCCCAATTGTCTATTTTAAAAATGTAAAACCTTCTCGGGAGCCCCAAACGTATTTTTTTTAAGAATGTGAAACCTCGGGGCTCCCAATTATCTTTTTTAGAAATGCAAAACCTTCTCGGGGTCCCAAACGTATTTTTTAAACAATGTGAAACCTTGCCGGGGCTCCCAATTATCTTTTTTTAAAAGGTAAAACCTTCTCGGGGGTCTCGAGCTATCTTTTTTAAAAATATGAAACCTTCTCGGGGGTCCCAAAAGATTTTTTTTAATAATGTGAAATTTTCTTGGTGGTCCCAATTGTCTATTTCAAAAATGTAAAACCTTCTCGGGAGCCCCAAATGTCTCTTTTTTTATGGGAAACCTTCTCGGGGGTCCCATCTGTTGTTTTTAATGGAAAACCTTCTCGGGAGCCCGAAATGTATTTTTTTAAAAATGTGAAACCTTCTCGGTGATCCCAATTGTCTATTTTAAAAATGTAAAACCTTCTCGGGGGCCCCAAACGTATTTTTTTAAGAATGTGAAACCTCGGGGCTCCCAATTATCTTTTTTAGAAATGTAAAACCTACTCGGGGGTCCCAAACGTATTTTTTAAACAATGTGAAACCTTGCCGGGACTCCCAATTATCTTTTTTTAAAAGGTAAAACCTTCTCGGGGGTCTCTAGCTATCTTTTTTAAAAATATAAAACCTTCTCGTGGGTCCCAAAAGATTTTTTTTAATAATGTGAAACCTTCTTGGTGGTCCCAATTGTGTATTTTAAAAATGTAAAACCTTCTCGGGGGCCGCAAACGTATTTTTTTAAGAATGTGAAACCTCGGGGCTCCCAATTATCTTTTTTAGAAATGTAAAACCTTCTCGGGGGTCCCAAACGTATTTTTTAAACAATGTGAAACCTTGCCGGGGGTCCCAATTACCTTTTTTTAAAAGGTAAAACCTTCTCGGGGGTCTCTAGCTATCATTTTTAAAAATATAAAACCTTCTCGGGGGTTCCAAAGGATTTTTTTTAATAATGTGAAACCTTCTTGGTGGTCCCAATTGTCTATTTCAAAAATGTAAAACCTTCTCGGGAGCCCCAAATGTCTCTTTTTTTATGGGAAACCTTCTCGGGGGTCCCATCTGTTGTTTTTAATGGAAAACCTTCTCGGGGGCCCGAAATGTATTTTTTTTTAAATGTGAAACCTTCTCGGTGATCCCAATTGTCTATTTTAAAAATGTAAAACCTTCTCGGGGCTCCGAGTTATCTTTTTTAAAAATGTAAAATCTTCTCGGGGGCCCCAAACGTATTTTTTAAACAATGTGAAACCTTGTCGGAGCTCCCAATTAGCTTTTTTTAAAATGTAAAACCTTCTGGAGATTTTTAAAGTTATTATAGGCATGATAAATTTTTGATCAAATTATATTTGCTCATCCCCCCCCCTAAAAAACTGATCACACCACCCCAAAATTTTTCCGAAAAAATGCTATCTTAAATGTGCATTGCGCAAAATATGATGAGTCTACAATTGTGATTTATCACTGAATTAAATTAAGAAGAATCAAGAATTGCAAAACTGAATACTTTTAAATCTTGACGTTTTGAAGTTATTGTAAGCATGGTAACTTTTTAATGAAAATGTATCTGTTTATCAACCCCAAAAAATTGATTACGTCATCTCAAAATTTTGCCGAATAAATTCTTTCGCCAATGTGCAAAATATGAACAGACTTTTAATCATTGCATTCATATTTTTTAGATTTGCTTAAACAGGTGACTCAAAAAAAATAATAAGTCGGGCAGTTTATTACTGATCAAATTAAGAACGAGCCACCCCATTTTCTGGAAAATGTGAGAATACGCTGGTTTTTATAACAATAAAATAATGATAAGGTAAGAATTATAATAATAACATTCATAATATTTTGTTCGATGGAGGCTTATGAATAATTTTAGTCATCTGTTTTGGGGCGATAAACTCATTCAAATCAAACAAATGTCTACGTGACATTCTTCCGATGTAATGTATTCCCGTTGATAATGTGCTGTAAATAAATTTTTTGCACTCATAACCTTTTTTGATGCGGCCGGTGCATCCTAAAACAAAACCGTGAAGAACTTACAGATTTCGAAATGATATAAAGTTTCCAATTTTGAAATAAAATATTCCAAAAAGAAAGCCTCGAAAACTTTAAATTTTGCAAAAATTTCTTCAATAACGAAAATTACAATTACTTTATAGGAAAGTTGACTAATTTTGTGCATTACTTTATCATAACCCTGTATAGTGTGTTAAAAAATTAATGAAACAGTTAATTTTCTGAATTAAATAAAAAACTGTTCGTCTGATATTTGCAATGTTTCAGGTACACTGAACTATTTTTTATTTTAACATTTTCCGTAAATCGTAACACTGGTGCCAGAAGTGGGATTCAGGATTAGTTATCAATGATATCAGTGAAGTACTTGGAGAAATTCATAACGGGAGTTCTGTTCTCATTTTCGAATCAATAAGACGCTTTCCAAAGTTAGGGAGACATTTTACTGAAATGTCGAGAGCTGGTGCAGGAAATCAGTTTTTTCAGAAAACCAGGAAAAAATCAAAAAGATTTTTATTAATAGCTCGATTACAATAGTTCGTCGAAAGGAATTTTTGCCAATAAATTATTAAATACAATCTCCAGAACTTGACTGAAGGCTTCCGCATAACTGCTCTTTACGTCGTTGTAAACTTCTTGCCAGTTTTCATTCATAACCGTGTTGATGTTATCACCTAACCTTTTATTGCCGTCGAACAAATTTTCCAATTTAAATCTGACCAAACCTGGCGTAAAAACCAAATTACCCTCAACCACTTTTAGATATTTCTGACCCTTCTTTTCGTATTCTTCCATAATATAAGTCTGCAAAGCTGTAACATTCTCTAACAAAAAAAAAACATCAACTGGTTAACCTCGTTTCAAAAAAATACCCATAAGTATCGTGCTGGTCCCTTTACCATACACCGGCAGCACCAAAATTTTCCCATTAACGTCATACTCGGCCACAATTTTGACTTCGGCAAAAGTGCAATGCAGTAGCGCCACTTTTTTGTCTAAATCAAGCCTAACAGCGAACTTTTAACACTCATTTTCCACGCAATGACAAACTTACTCGAATTTGGTAGCTTCCGGTTTGCTGAATCCGTACACTTTCATATTTTTGAAATTTTGTGCCAATCCGAGGGCCCCCGTTCCGGCCGCAATGGTCAGTTGTGGAATCTCCAACGGTTCCAGAGACGGCAAACCCACTTCTCGAAAAGGCCGAGTCAGTTGTTGGATTGCGTCTTTCACGGCTTTGGACAAGCACTCGTTGAGGTCTTTTTGGCTTCTGTTGCACTTTTTGAAAGTGGGGGCTGCAATAAAATATTACTAGTGAGGTGAGAAATAAAGTGAAAAATTGTTTTACGCAGTTTAGTGCAAGTGCAGGCACTGAGCAGGAGTAGGTAACCGAAAATCGCTGGATTCATAGTGGTATTTTGTTGTTTTGGCGCGGAAATTTTCTTTTATAACCTTAGAGATACATACCAAAAAAATTGTTTAGGTTAAACTGGTCTCGATTTCCGTCGAAATTAAAATTGCCTACTAGTTTTTAGGAATTTCTTTGTGTGTAGAGGCCTCTATTTCCATATTTATTACTTTATTTTTTGTTTGATATGTTGTTTTGATTTAATTAATTTTTTACGTTATATAATGAGGATAATGAAAACAAGTAGTATAAATAATGTAATATTTGTTCCAGAAGTAAAATATAACTTTTGTATCGATTGAAATTTTTTCAAAATCCGTAAACAGTTAGATTGAATAAAGTGGACAAGCATCAAAATTTCGTGGTTTGAAAAAAAAAGGAGAGTGTTTTTTTTTAAATAAAAATGAATCTTTATTTAATAAATTTACTACGGGTAATTATCAGAAAAACTGAAGTTTGCAAACTACGTGTTTGCTGAAATATATTCCTACAGTATTGACATTGACATATTGTACTATACATATGGTTAAATTTTATTTGATGGAATTGATTTGTTTGAAAGTTATATTTTTCGGTCTTATAATAGGTTGAAAACTGAAAAAACTCGGTGTTTTCATATTTTCCTATTAAAATGAGTACAAGTAATACACGTGTCACACCAAAAGATGTGAGTAAAGTTTTAAAGCAAATTTCGTATATCAGTTTGGATAGATGTAGTGTAATACTAGAAATAAAAGTACTGTATTCCCAAATTTTCGAGAAAATGAATTTGGTTGTCTTGAATATTGATTTATAATCAATAAAATAACGAAACAGTTTACTCAAGTACGCCGCGTGTATTAGCAGAGGCGACTCAAAATAATTTATGTATAAGCATTCTTAATTTAAGACAACAAGCGGTAACACTTGTTGAGATTGTACACGTGAGCGTCAAACAGAGAAACTGCAAACAATACCGATGGTCGTCCAGACTTTTTTATTGCTTCGACTTCCGCTTATTATATAAAACATTGGATTTTATTTTAATTTTTACTTCCCGAGCGTAAGCAAAGGAAGTATTGTAATCGAGTCCGTCGGCCGACTCTCTACTTTTACGTTTTCTCGATCTTTCATGACCCCTAGAAGACGAAGAAATAGGTCTCCCATTTCCGTCTGTCTGTCCGTCTGTCCGTCTGTCCGTCTGTCCGTCTGTCCGTCCGTCTGTCCGTCTGTCCGTCTGTCCGTCCGTCTGTCCGTCTGTCCGTCTGTTGTCCCGGATTTTTATTAGACAGATAATCTCCGAAAGTACTCGACCGATTGTTGTGAAATTTTGTACTTATATTAAGAATATCATGTAGATGGTAAAACGCTAACCAAAATTTGTCTAATCATCCCCACCACTAATGCGATGACGTCACTTCAAAATTGTACATAGTAAATGGGTTTTCAATTGTATAAAATAACATAGTCCTACACATGTAGTTTACAACTCTGAATCGACTTTTCACCCGAAACGTCCAGATTTTTGGAAAAAAAATCAAAATTATAAAACAACATTTTGAAATTTAATTTTTAATCTGCTAACCAGAATGCTTTGAAATGTTGCAGATGTTTTAAGGCTATAAAGAGCATCATAAATGTTTAGTCAAAATATATTTGCTTATCCCCTCCTAAAACTTGATGACGTCAGCTCGAAAGTTTGCCGAATAAATCACATCTAAAATGTACAAAATATGATCAGTCTGTACTTGTGATCTATCACTCCATCCATATTTTTTGGATTTGCATATACAGGGTGATTCAAAAAAATTAATGAAAGCGTAAATTTATTTTACTGATTTACTCAGGAACTACAAAACCGAATGCTTTGAAATCTTGAAGATGTTTTAAGGTTATAAAGAGCATAATAAGTGTTTAGTCAAAATACATTTGCTTATCCCCTCCAAAAAATTGATGACGTCAGCTCAAAAGTTTGCCGAATAAATCCTATCTAAACTGTACAAAATATGATGAGTCTGTACTTGTAATTTATCACTCCATTCATATTTTTAGGATTTGCATATACAGGGTGACTCAAAAAAATTAATGAATGCGTAAATTAATTTTATTGATTTACTCAGGAACTATAAAACCGAATTCTTTGAAATCCACTGCGAAAAAAAAAACATAATAGGCATGCAGTCGTCACGTTTCCGACAGCGAGGGAAGTACTGTCTAAACTCTTTAGACCAATTTTTGATGGTGTAATTCACTTGTGTATACCACATTCACGGAATCTAGTCAGCGCAACAAAATGCACGTCTGTAATGTTAAAGTAAATGTAAATAAGCGTGCTACGCGTATGTTTCAAACGAGTTTTTACATTACAAAATTTTGTGTCTATCAAATTGGGTTGGTGCAATGTAATACTAATAATAACAGTGCTGTATCTCCAAATTTTCGGAAAAATGGAGTAAGCTATTCCTGATTTAATCAATAAAATAAATTGACTGATTCATTGTTTTTTTGAGCAAATCTAAAAAATTGGTCGAAAGTTATTTTGACGGAACTTCCCTCGCCCTTAAAGTACAGTCCAACGAATCCTGTTTTTTGAAAAAGTATAAAATTTAATTCTGCGAAATTTTACAAGAGAGCCTCTGAGAAGGTTGAACCTTGTTAAAAAAACAGTTAATGCCCCCGAGAAGGTTCTACATTCTTAAAAAACAGACAGATGGAGCCCCCGAGAAGGTTTAACCTTTTTTAAAAAAAGACCCCCCCCCCCCCCAGAAGGTTTTAAAAGACGTTGGGACCCTTGAGAAGGTTTCTCCTGCTTAAAAAAGACAGTTGAGAGCTCCGAGAAAGTTTCATAAAAAAAGCCCTTTGAGGCCCCATACAGGTTTTATTTTCTATAAAAAACATATAGCTGGGATTCCCGAAAAAGTTCTACATTCTTGAAAATAAGACAGTTGGGAGCCCCCAGTAGGTTTCACCTTCTTTAAAAAAAAAGATAGATACTTGGGACCCTCGATAAGATTTTTCCTTCTTAAATAAAAGAAAATTGGGATCCTCGGGAAGGTTTCTCCTTCTCGAAAAAAGACACTCGGGACCCTCGAGAAGGTTTTTTCTGCTTAAAAAAAGATCAGTTGGGGCCCCCGAGAAGGATTTACATTCTTAAAAAAAAAATGGTCGAAAGTTGTTTCGACAGAACTTCCCTCGCTCCTAAAGTAGGTACAATGAACATATGCAGCATTTCCGAGTGTTTATTTATATTTATTAGAGATGTACCGACTGTAGGTCTGGCCGACTAACCGACTAGCCGATTATTCGGCCAGTAAAAACCGACTAGTCGGCCGACTGTTCGGCTTTGCTAAAACCGGTTTATAAATGCGACAGACAGTGTGTTTTTTTTTTCTATTTCTCTGACTACCTTAAAAATGTGTTTTATTTTAATAAAAGGAATAACTAAAGTTTCTTTTGTGGGTATTGTTGGTGATTTAAAAGCGACGGTACGGTTTTCAGATTTTATTTTGTTCCTTACTGTTCGAGAGTGCCAGGGAGAAGAAGGAAGGGTGTTTAAAATGGTACACAGGTAAGCTCGGTTTCGAAGAGGTGGAAGTAGGTAAAGAAGGGTTTAGAAAATTCTAGAAGCGAAAAGAGAAAGTATGTAGGAGGGCAGGTAGACGAAGGATAGGAAGTATTTACATTTTTACAATTATTATGAATGCGCTCAGGTAGAACACCTGATTTTGTGGGAACGGTTGTTCCTACACTTTGTTTTCCAAAAAATGTGTTAAATTTGTTTGGATAATTTTAACATTTAATTTTTTTTCAGTAATTAAATCGCAATTGAATATTTAATTGAGGTTCTGTAAACCGGGTTTAATTGTTTTATATACTATTTTAATTTTAATAAAAAAAGCCGACCGATCGGCTGTTTAGCCGACCAGTCGCCGACTGCAGCCGACGATGAAAAACGGCCGAATAGTCGGCTTATCCGACCGGTCGGCCACTAGTCGGTACATCCCTAATATTTATACATCGAAAGAATATCACGTAGAAATTAGTTTGATTTGAATTAAACCACAATCGCGCAAAATGATCTGATTATTATAATTTTTATTTTATCATTATTATTAATAAAGTCGAGTTTTTCACATTTTCGAGGAAATGAGGTGACTCGTTATTAATTTGACCAATAAAAAATTGGTAATGAAGTCATCAACATGGATAATACTTGGTAATATAAGCGTAACCTTCGAATTATTTTTGCGAAAATATGAACGTTTAGCGAAAAACTGAAAATGGATTCGTACACTACAAGTATAGGAGTATATTTTTATATAACATTAAAATTATTTTAAGATATGATTCAATGAAATAACGTTATTAAATTGTTGGTGGGATGATTATCCAAATTTTGGGTAGTATGTAACCATCTACATAATATTTCTAATATACAGGTTGACTGCGAAATACATGCAAAAAAAAAAATGGGGAATAGCTCACAATATGATTATGTCACTGGCAAAAATTCACGGTCCTAAGTGGTAGCAGTGTCTAGAAAAAATTATTTGAAATTAAATGTAAATTGTTATACGCGCCGCTGGTAATGTTTCGTGACCTACATAATTACTGCAATGAATGGGTAGGGGACTCGGAGTAAGAACCAAAAAAGTAACTTTATCAGGCACTTTTTTAATCGCAACGTGAAAAATACGAAAAGGGCCAGTCATTATCGAGCGGTCGTTGAAATCGGTGTATGGTCCAGTTTTCCAATGCAGAGTGTGTCGATATGGTAATTTGCATCAGTGGTACAGCATCTCCGAGATCATGGTACCTTCAACCTCAAACTCACGATCGTGGTCGTGATGGGACAGAAAGAAGAAATTGGATTTTCGCAGCTTGTAGTGCATCCTACATTAAAAGTACACGGTCACAACCATACCATGTTGACAAAGTGCACGGTTTGGAGCCCGCTGATTGTCCACGTTTTGTAACTCACTTTTTGTCCGATGGAACTCCACATAGTCGTCAACAAGTACGATTTCAAGAGACGATTTTCGAGAAACGTGTATTGGTTGGATGAAACAATTCGTTTGTGGAAATCAACAGTGTCCAGAAATTATCGAAGAGCTTCAACAAGTGAAAGTGGCAGCCGCTACTCCGGTGTTTTTTTACCTATCAACAAACCTCTTGCGACGCTCTGACGCCTGTATTGCTAGTCAAGGACAACATTTTCAACATTTCTTGTAAAAAGGTAGTAGCATTCTAAGTTGCTCTTATTTCTGTTCCAATAAACAATGTAAAATCGTTGTGACAAGGACCAAACATCCGTCAGAATCAAAATTACTAAAAAACTTTCACACTGACCTTTAACGATGAATGAGTAAATGAATGAACGAATGATAAGCAGCAAAAAGTCGGTTTTACTTTTAATTGAAACTGAAAGTGTTTAGGTCGTTTTTATTCGAACGTTTTTCCAACTCTGTTTACAAGGTGGCTCAGTGCCTTCGTATCGAGGGTGGTTCATGGGGGTTTTGCCCCATTAGATTTTTAATTTATTTTTTCTATATTTCGGCTCAACTAGGGTGGGGGATGCTGTGGTTAAAATATTTGCACTTATTTCGCAGTCACCCTGTACACACAAAATTTGACAACAATCGGTCCAGCAGTTTTGGAGATTACTTGTCTAATAAAAATGGATACAGACACCAGACAAACAGACAGACGGAAACGGGAGACTACTTTTTTCGTACTGTAGGGGCATTCAGAAAACATAAAAGTGGCACTTCGTCCGATGGACTCGATTACTATTGTACTTCCTTAGCTTACGATCGGGGGTTTGAAGGTCTCACATTCTTAAAAAAAAACACTTGAGGCCCCCGAGAAGGTTTCTTCTTAAAAAAAAAAACACAGGTGGGGCCTCCAAGGTTTCATCTTTTTAAAAAAATTGGTCGAAAAATGTTTCGACAGAACTTCTTTAGCTTCTGAAGTACAGTTGGCTTCTCTGAAAAAATATAAAATTTGATTTTGAGGAATTTAAATTTTTTGTACTTTGAAGTAAAACAATATAGAAAGCACTAGTCCAGTCTAATAGAAAAAAGGTTTCACCTTCTTAAAAAAGACAATTGGGACCCCGAGAAGATTTCACCTTCTTTAATAAATTGACTGACTCATTAGTTTTTTTGGTCACCCTGTATAAGCACATCTAAAAAATATGAATGCAATGATAACTTACAGTCTAGTCTGATCATATTTTGCACATTTTCGAAAGAATTTATTCGGCAAAATTTTGACATGACGTAATCAATTTTTTGGGGTTGATAAACAGATTTTGATTAAAAACTTAACATACTTACAATAACTTCACAACGTCGAGATTTCAAAGTACATATCAATGATTTAATCAACAAAAAAAAATGAACTCAGTCATTAAATTTTTTCAGACATCCCGTATAAGCAAATCTAAAAAATATTAATGCAGTGCTAGATCACAAGCATAGACTCATCATACTTTGCACATCTAAGATACGATTTTTCCAGCAAAATTTTGGGGCAGCGTCGTCAAATTTTCAGGGGGGATGAGCAAATACATTTTTATCAAAAATTTAATTTTTTATTTAAAATTTAATCAGCTTGAGGAGTATGAAGTGCAGTGAGCACATGTGAAGTGGTAGACTCCCCTTTTTTTCTTAGAGTATTCATTTGCTAAAATTAGTCTCATCTTGACAAGTACTAGCCCCACCCACTCGCCCTATATTTTCTTAAAGGATATGCCATTTGCTAAAATCAGTGTATTTTAGCAAGTGCTAGCTCCGCCTATCCGCCCTTTATTTTCTTAGAGGATGTCATTTGCCAAAATCAGTCTATCTTAGCAAGTGCTCGCACCGCCCACACGCCCTTTATTTTCTTAGGGACTATATCATTTGCCAAAATCAGTCTATCTTAGCAAGTACTAGGCCCGCCCAACATGTCATTCTTTGGCCGCACGATCTATAGCTCCGCCCACCCGCCCTTTATTTTCTTAGAGAATATATCATTGGCCAAAATCAGTCTATCATAGCAACTGCTGTCACAATTGTTTTAATTTTTGTGGCGTGAAAATTTAAATTTATTTGCTCAAATTACATTGATTTGTCATTTCTAAAATTTGCTGTAGGTAACTATCTATGTATTTGAAAAGTTAAGGCTTCAAATACACTCCTAAGTTTTTTTGTTCATGATTAAAGAAAATTGTTAATTAACCATTTTTGATCAAAATGTATTTGCTCATCCCCCCTAAAAAACTGTTGACGTCACAACAAAATTTTGCTGAACAAATCCTATCTTAAATGTGCAAAGTATGATGAGTCTCTACTTGTGATTTATTACTGCATTCATATTGTTTAGATTTGCTTATACAGGGTGTCTTAAAATAATTAATGATTGTGTCAATTTATTTTATTGTTTAAATCAAGAATTGCAAAACTGATTGCTTTGACATTTTGCAGACGTTTTAAAGTCGTTGTAAGTATAATCAAAATAAATGTGTTTTTTCCCCTCAAAAAATTGAAGACATCTCAAAATTTTGCCGAATAAATTCTACCCAAAATGTGCAAAATATGATGAGTTTTTACTTGTGATTTATCATTGCATTCATAGTTTTTATTGATCAAATTAAGAACGAGTCACCCCATTTTCCCGAAAATGTGAAAATACCAACGTCTTTATTTAATAAGAATAATTATAATAATGATATTCAGAACATTTTGTCGATTGTAGCTTACTACTTAATGGTTTCAATTCTCTGTTTTGAGGGGACGAACTCATGCAAATCAAGCTAATTTCTACGTGACATTCTTCCGATGTATAAACATAAACACTTTCAAGTTTTTTTTAATCGAGGATAACCTAAGGACGTACAGTAATGGTGTTAAATAACTTTGAATACAACTTTGTTCTTCCAGAATTTTAAGTCCCAAACAACAAAATTAATTAATTGAAAATATTATATAAACAATTTATTGTTAAAAATCATTCATCGAAAAAATCATCAAGCGAAACCTTCGACAACACATTATCGAACAGCCTCATTATAATCTGCCCAAACGCATCTTCATAGCTCGTCTTCACATCGCTGAAAACTTCCAACCAGTTCTCATTCAAGACCTTATTAATATTGTCCCCTAAAGCCTTATCCCCGTCGAACAAATTCTCAAAATTGAAGGTAACCCCTCCCGGCGTCAGCGTCAATTTCCCTTCAACCAACTTGAAATGCTTCTTCCCTTTTTTCTCAAACTCCTCAAAAGCAAAAGTCTCAAAACCATTCACATTTTCTACAAAAAATTAAAAACTTTAGGTGATGATTTTTTCCACGAAATTTACCCTACCCATAGTAATTGTAGCCGGGCCTTTACCGTACACCGGCAGCAGCAAAATCTTCCCGTTGACATCGTAATCAGCCAAAATTTTGACTTTGGGGAAAGTGCATTCGATTCGGGCCGTTTTCTTCTCCACGTCCATCCTACAAACCCCATTTTTCACACTTTCTGGAACTATTTATCTTTATACTTACTCAAATTTGGTGAACTCCGGCTTCGTAAAGCCGTAAATCTTCACATTTTGGAAATTTTGTACTAAACCCACGGCGCCGGTGCCGGCGCCTATGGTCAATGCCGGGATTTCCAGGGGCTCCAGAGTCGGCAGCCCGACTTCTTTGAAGGGTTGTTCCAGCTGCTTGATGGCATCGTCGACGGCTTTGGACAAGCAGTCGCTGAGGTCGGGTTGGCTTCGGCTGCATTTTTTGAAAGATGGAGCTATAAGCGAGTTATTGTTCCTAATTTTGTCTGATTGAGCAACTATTACTTACGCAGCTTTGTACAAGTGCATACAGACAATGCGACTAAGCAAATTAATTTCGTTGCGTTGTTCATGGTGGTGGTGGTGGTTCTACTGGTCACTGGCGGCGGAACTTTTCTTTTATAGCGGAGAGGGGTCACAAAAAACCCATATTGTTAAGAACTAATTTGCTGGTGCGTCCTTCCGATGTTTACTAAGTGTCAATCAAAGTTGAACGGGTTTAAAGTTAAACTGTTCTTTGTTGTTTTTGTTCGATTGTTTTAAAGCAAATTACTTTTTAGCTTGCATGCTAATGAGTGGAAGTGACTTAAGTTGGGTGATTTTTACGCGTAGAGAATAAGCTTGTGTAATTAAAAACAATTACTGTCAGTCTTTTAGGTGCTCATATAAGATAAGTATCTTGTTCGGAATGGATGAAATAACGATGATTAATAAGAAGGTAGCAATTTAGAAAAACGACCATTATTAGCATTATGTAATGTAGTGGTTATTCACTTGTTTGTCTAGTCCAGGGTTTAGTCAGGTGCAATTAGTTACCGCAGATTAAACAGTAATTAAATTTTAATTAAGATTTTCGTCGTTATAATTAAATTAAGGCTTGGCGATTCGGAGAAATGGACGGTTTATCGGAGGTCTTTTGTTTTTGTGGCCTTCTAAAAATTGCAAAATGACACGACAAAGTCACTGTTTTGAGATCGGTTTTCCAAATGTTTAGTGTATATTCCGTTCACCGAACAGATGGAGTTGTAAAAGTGCGTGATCTTGCTTGTGGACGTTCATTTTTTAAGTATGTGAAGCGCACGTGATTACTCCATCTGTTTGGTGAACGAACTATAGTTTGATTGTGATGAGCATTCGACAATTAAAACGCGTTTTTCGAGACACGCATTTGTTAACATTATATTGAGCAGATGGATTACTTTTTTGCGTGTCAAGTAATCGTGTTATAGAATAAATAAGTTACATAATGCTATGTTATACAACGAAAATATAATTGCAGTTTTTATCACCATAACAATAACCATAATAATAGCGTTTTGTATTTTATAAACGACTAAAAAAAATATTTCTTTTTTTCGAAAAAGGTGGATTTGTTGTATTATGCTTCAGGGCCAAGGGAAGTTCTCTAAATAAACTCAAAGCATTTTTTTTAACAGCAACTGTAACATTTCCTTTCCAATTTTGATAGATATTTTTATTAGTTAAATGGTCGTGGAAAAAAGTTTGTACCATATTGTTGGTATTGAGTTTGATCTCAATTAAGTAACCCTCAGGGAAAAGCTCGGGTCAAAATAATTCATCTCAAAATTACTTCAGAAGAAAAAAATCTCCACTATTATTTCGACAGCACTCCTAAAAGGAAATCCTGTTTCTTCGAAAAATTATGAAATTTGATTTTAGGGAATTTTGTTTCGTGATAACTTGTATGTAGTAAAAACCAAATAGAATGTGCTATTCACAATGTAATAAAAAAAAAATGTTTAACCTTTAAAAAAAGACAGTTTCACAGTAAAAAAATACATTTGGCGCCTCTGAGAAGGTTTTACATTTTTGAATAAGACAGTTGGGACCGCTGAGAAGGTTTCACATTAAAAAAAATTACACTTGGCGCCCCCGAGAACCTTTTACATTTTTGAAAAAGACAGTTGGGACCGCTGAGAAGGTTTCACCTAAAAAAAATATATTTGGCACCCCTGAGAAAGTTTTGCACTTTTGAAAAAGATGGTTGGGACCCATGAGAAGGTTTCCCATAAAAAAAAATACATTTCACACCCCTGAGAAGAGGTTTTACATTTTTGAAAAAGACAGTTGGGACCCTTGAGAAGGTTTCACATTCTTAAAAAAATACATTTGGCGTCCCCGAGAAGGTTTTACACTTAAAAAACAATAAGTGGGACTCCTGAGAAGGTTTCACATTTTTAAAAAAGACGGTTGGGACCCCGGAGAAGGTTTCACATTCTAAAAAAAAATATTTGCCGTCTCCGAGAAAGTTTTACATGTTTAAAAAAGACAATTGGGGGTCCTGAGAAGGTTTCACATTAAAAAAAAATACATTTGGCGCCCCCGAGAAGCTTGTACATTTTTGAAAAAGACAGTTGGGAGCCCTGAGAAGGTTTTACATTTTTAAAAAAGACGGTTGGGACTCCGGAGAAGATTTCACATTCTAAAATAAAAAAACATTTGGCGTCCCCGAGAAGCTTGTACATTTTTGAAAAAGACAGTTGGGACCCCTGAGAAGGTTTTACATTTTTAAAAAAGACAACTGTGACTCCTGAGAAGGTTTCACATTAAAAAAAATACATTTGGCGCCCCTGAGAAGCTTGTACATTTTTGAAAAAGACAGTTGGGAGCCCTGAGAAGGTTTTACATTTTTAAAAAAGAAGGTTGGGACTCCGGAGAAGGTTTCACATTATAAAAAAAAAACATTTGGTGTCCTCGGGAAGGTTTTATATTTTTAAAAAAGACAATTGGGACTCCTGAGAAGGTTTCACATTAAAAAAAAAAAACATTTGGCGCCCCCGAAAAGCTTGTACATTTTTGAAAAAGACAGTTGGGAGCCCTGAGAAGGTTTTACATTTTTAAAAAAGACGGTTGGGACTCCGGAGAAGGTTTCACATTGTAAACAAAAACATTTGGCGTCCCCGAGAAGCTTGTACATTTTTGAAAAAGACAGTTGGACCCCTGAGAAGGTTTTACATTTTTAAAAAACACAACTGAGACTCCTGAGAAGGTTTCACATAAAAAAAAATACATTTGGCGCCCCTGAGAAGCTTGTACATTTTTGAAAAAGACAGTTGGGAGCCCTGAGAAGGTTTTACATTTTTAAAAAAGACGGTTGGGACTCCGGAGAAGGTTTCACATTAAAAAAAAATACATTTGACGCCTCTGAGAAGCTTGTTCATTTTTGAAAAAGACAGTTGGGAGCCCTGAGAAGGTTTTACATTTTTAAAAAAGACAACTGAGACTCCTGAGAAGGTTTCACATTAAAAAAAAATACAGTTGGCACTCCCGAGAAGCTTGTACATTTTTGAAAAAGACAGTTGGGAGCCCTGAGAAGGTTTTACATTTTTAAAAAAGACGTTTGGGATTCCGAAGAAGGTTTCACATTCTAAAGAAAAAACATTTGACGTCCCCGAGGAGGTTTTACATTTTTGAAAAAAACAGTTGGGACCCCTGAGAAGGTTTTAGATTTTAAAAAAAGACGGTTGTGACCCCGGAGAAGGTTTAACATTCTAAAAAAAAAGAAAAAACATTTGGCGCGCTCGAGAAGGTTTTACATTTTTAAAAAAGACAACTGAGACTCCTGAGAAGGTTTCACATTAAAAAAAAAAATACATTTGGCGCTCCCGAGAAGCTTGTACATTTTTGAAAAAGACAGTTGGGAGCCTTGAGAAGGTTTTACATTTTTAAAAAAGACGGTTGGGGCTCCGGAGAAGGTTTCACATTCTAAAAAAAAGGCGTCCCCGAGAAGGTTTTACATTTTTAAAAAAAACAGTTGGGACCCCTGAGAAGGTTTTACATTTTTAAAGAAGACGGTTGTGACCCCGGAGAAGGTTTAACATTCTAAAAAAAAAAAACATTTGGCGTCCCCGAGAAGCTTTTACATTTTTGAAAAAGTCAGTTGGGAGCCCTGAGAAGGTTTTACATTTTTAAAAAAGACGGTTGGGACTCCGGAGAAGGTTTCACATTCTAAAAAAAAAAAAACATTTGCCGTCCCCGAGAAGGTTTTACATTTTTGAAAAAGACAGTTGGGAGCCCTGAGAATGTTTTACATTAAAAAAAAACGGTTGGGACTCCGGAGAAGGTTTCACATTCTAAAAAAAAATCATTTGGCGTCCCCGATAAGGTTTTACATTTTTGAAAAAGACAGTTGGGACCCCTGAGAAGGTTTTACATTTTTGAAGTGGACAATTGGGACCCGTGAGAAGGTTCCACCTAAAAAAATATATTTGACACCCCTGCGAATGTTTTACATTTTTGAAAAAGACAGTTGGGAGCTCTGAGAAGGTTTAAAAAAAAAAATACATTGGCGCCCTTGAGAAGGATTTACATTTTTGAAATAGACAATTGGGACCCGTGAGAAGGTTCCACCTAAAAAAGTATATTTGGCACCCCTGCGAAGGTTTTACATTTTTGAAAAGGGCAGTTGGGACCCCCTAAGAAGGTTCATTAACATTCTTAAAAAAATACATTTGGGGCTCCGGAGAAGGTTTTACATTTTTAAAAAAGATAATTAGGACCCCTGAGAAGGTTTTACATTTTTAAAAAAGACAGTTGGGACCCCCGAGAAGGTTTCACATAAAAAAATACATTGGCGTCCCTGAGAAGGTTTTACATTTTTGAAAAAGACAGTTGAGACCCCCGAGGTTTCATATTAAAAAAAAAAAAAATACATTTGGCGCACTCGAGAAGGTTTTACATTTTTTGAAAAGATAATAGGGACCTCCGAGAAGCTTTCACATTCTTAATTAAAGACGTTTGCACATTTGGCGCCCCCGAGGTTTTACATTTTTAAATAAAGAGGGGCGAATTTTTTTTTCGAGAAAGTGGGGTAATTTCATCAATAAAAAAATTGTGATAATGTCATAAACATAACACAATGCGAGAGAAAAAGAAAAAAAAACACGAAAAGTTTGGAATCGAACGGGCGACATCCGGTTCGCATCCTGACTCGTAACCACTACACCACGACCTTGCCTTACGATAATGGTAAACTGTCATTATACCGTGCATTATGTTTTTGCAAAAATTTGGACGGTTCGGGAAAAACTCAAAGCGGATTCGTACAGGACTATATTGTTGTATAACAGTTAAATCGAATAAACATAGAATTCTTTGAAATGACGTCATCAAATTGTTGGTGGGTATGAAATTTTCCAACGCACAACAAAGATTGACAATAAAAATCATAAAAATAATAAACAAAATCAAGGTGGATTTATAAACCACAAATACAGATGTACATTATTTCATAAAACTGAATATCTTTTACTCCGCAAAATGTTGAGCCTACGTCATAAGATTGTTGGTCTAGATCAGTGGTTCGCAAACTGGGTGCCGCGGCACACTAGGGTGCCGCGGATCCCCCAAGAGGGTGCCGCGAAAATTTTATAATGATGTTTATAAATATAAGCACAGAACCAACTTTAAAAAATAATAATTGATGATCTGATTTTATTAATATGGTACAACTGTTCAGTAATGGAAAATGTGTTCTGAACATGTTAATTTTCTTCATACTGAAGTAAGATGGCTAACAAATATTTATAAAACAATCTTAACATCAATTACATATTATACAAACATGTGATAAAGTGTTTTTGATAATAAATTAGTTACAATTAAAACTGTTCTTGGTGGGGTGCCGCCAAATTTTGTTTAAAATTTTAGGGTGTCATCAATAATAAAAGTTTGCGAACCACTGGTCTAGATGATTAGACAGATTTTGGTTACGCTCGAGAAGTAAAAAAACTGTCTAACCGAACATCTTTCGTTAACGTGGTTTGTACAGATTTTATCCTTGCACACGTCAAATCAATAAATATCTTTGTTACTAGAGTTAAACAAAACTATGTGAGGTCCCAGTTTACCAAACTTAATAAGTTTTATGAGATTCGTGATGAAATGTAATACACAGAGAGCAGTAAAAAATAGGGTTAAAAACAACCATGAATTTTTGAAAATTTGTCTTTGATCGTTGAATTTTCAACACTCAAAAACTCATAGCTGTCTTTGATCGTATTTTAATGGCTCTTTGGGTGTATCTTCTTTCATTAATGGCACGTTTGCACAATTTGACCTGACCTGACCTGACCGTCGTTAAGTTAAAAGTTACATTTCTGAAATTTTTGACATTTTAACAACAATAATAAAACAAAAACTTTATTTTCTACATTCAAGATTGACTCATCTGAAGAAACCAAATTCCACGTGGCCATCATGGGCAACCTCTACGCCACCCAACCCATCGGTCGCGAAATCACCATCGACTTAGCGCGCCATCTGATCCACGGCCACTCCATCGGCGACCCCCAAATCCTCACCATCTTAAACAACACAGTCATACACGTCATACCCGTAATAGACACGGCCTTCGAACAAATATGGGGCGACTACCCCAAAGAACTCACCACCGGTTGGAAAAAACCCACCCTCTACACTTGCAACAACATCACGGCCGACTTCAAACAAGTCGGTGACCAGATCATAGGTGGCGTTCGCGTCAACGGAGGACTTAAGTCAGTTGCCACCGCGTTTAAGCACATGTTGATGGAGGAGAAGTTCGACTTGGTGTTGAACATTGAGGGGGGAAGCGGGGGGATAATGTAAGTAGAGATTGACGGTTTGGTAAGGTGTGATAATGATTTGTGGTAGATACCCGAAAACTGGCGCCAAATTTGAATTGTATGGGGTGTATGCGGAGGCGTACTTAAAGTCGGCGAAAGGGGGGGTTCAGTGTGAGAGGAACGTGAAAGGGACGGACGATGAGATCACCAGCGCCCTCTACCGAGAGTATAATGTGCCTGTGCTCACTGCTAAAGTGAGTTGTTGTGACTACCCATTCGTCGGAGATATTCCGTATATATGGCGACAATCTCTGGCTCCGCTTATGACAGTTCTGACCTTTACAACCACAGGTGGGTTGATTTTAATAAGTCGTAGATCTAGTGATCTGTCAAATTAAAAAATTTCAGGAGTCCAAGGGTTCGTCCAAGACGAAAAGATGGCGCCTATGCGCAACGCAACTGTCAAAGTGAACGGCCTTGACCGCACCTTTGATGTCACTAAAACCAGCGCCCACTTCAAAATCATGTTGCCCCCTGGCCAGTACACTTTCGAAGTGTCCTGCCACTACTACACCACCACCACCCTTGGCGTCACCGTCGTCCAAGGCCAACTGTCATTCGTCCGTGTCATCTTAACAAAATCCACCACCATCAACGTGGAAACCGACACGGAATTGACCAAACCCTTGGTGGTAGACGGCGCTGTGACCTCGGGTATTCGAGGTTACGTCAAAGACAACCTCAACCACCCAATCCCAGCCGCCTTGGTTACCGTAGTCGAACAAAACGTGACCGTACTGTCGGACGATAACGGCAAGTACGGCGTTCCCGTCCCCCCTGGAACGTACACGTTGGAGGTGAGCGCCTCCGGGTACCACAAAGAAATCAAGTACATGTCGGTGGACGACGTTTCCGTCAATCCGCACATCGTGATCTTCACTCTAGTCAAGAATACGAGCGTGTGGGGGATGCCGCGATTAGTTTTTGTTATTTTTATGGGCTTCGTGTGTTTCATGGGGCTGGGGTTGGGGTTGTTGTGTTACCTGGGGTGTCGCAAGAGGAGCGAGTATGGGTTGTTGTCGCAGAATGCGTTCTATGAGGATTTTAGGGACTTCGACGAGTCGAAGGAGAAGGAGTTGTTCAGTAGGCCGCTGCCAGGTAGTTTTGTTTGGGGTTGAAACAAGTCAAGATTGTTTGTTTTTTGTTTGTAGAGAAACCAGTGACGAGGCCGTATTTCGACGACGACGATTTTTCGGACGCTGATGTGAGCTCGGACGATGAGGACGACATTGTGTTGCTGCAATCGAAACAATAGAGTACCTTATTTTTCAGTGATATTGACAGTAGGACCAAAAAGTAGTTTGTGATCTCCATACTACTAAAATTTTATTTAAATAATCGGAGCAAAGATTTATTGTCGGTAGTATTTTTGATCGCGTAGCGTTAAAAATTGACTATATTTTTTATAAGGAAGATTTTTGTATATACGGATTTAGACTATTCATTGGTAGCTTGGAACTTTGTCGTTGTTAACTGATGGGCATCTTGTCCGACATTCCGTTTTGTGTTATAATTGACATCACTAGAATGATTATTTTATATTTATAATAACATTTACTTTTACCTAAACGTTATAGTAGTGTTTTAAGTAGTCAAAAAGAAATAATAAACAGTGCAATTTTAATAGTGGTTTTCTTTGTCAAAATACGGATATAACCAGACTGATTTTTTTAAGTTGTTTAATTTCCTTGTATTTGAAATAACCCCAATTATTTTTTCGACCTTTTCTGAATAAGTCCCCCGTTTCCGTCTGTCTGTCCGTCTGTCGTCCCGCATTTTTATTAGACAGATAATTCCCGAAAGTACTGGGCCGATTGTTGTCAAATTTTGTATTTATATTAGGTATATCATGTAGATGATAAAACGCTAACCAAAATTTGTCTAATTATCCCTACCACTAATGTGATGAGTCACTTCAAAATTGTACATAGTAAATAGGTTTTAAATGGTATCAAATAACATAGTCTTACACATGTAATTTATGATTCCGAATTGAGATTTTACCCGAAACGTCCAGATTTTTGGAAAAAAAAAATCAAAATTAGGAAACAACATTTTGACATTTAATTTGGAATCTGCAAAACCGATTGCCTTGAAATCTTGCAGATGGTTTACAGTTATGATAAGCATGATAAGTTTTTATTCAAAATATATTTACTTGTCCCCTCCAAAAAATTGATGACGTCACCTCAAAACTTTGCCGAATAAATCCTATCTAAAATGTAGAAAATATGATGAGACAATACTTGTGATTTATCATTCCATTCATATTTTTTGGATTTGCATATACAGGGTGACCCAAAAAAATTAATGAATGCGTAAATTTATTGTATTGATTTAATCAGGAACTACAAAACCGAATGCTTTGAAATCTTGGAGATGTTTTAAAGTTATCATAGGCATGGTAAATTTTTGGTCAAAATATATTTGCTTAGATTTGCTTAAACAGGTGACTCAAAAAAATTAATGAATCAGTCAATTTATTATTGATCAAATTAAGAATGAGCCACCCCATTTTCTGGAAAATGTGAGAATACGCTCGTCTTTATAATAATAAAATAATGATAAGGCAAGAATTATAATAATAATATTCATAATATTTTATTCAATGGAGGCTTATGAATAATTTTAGTCATCTGTTTTGGGGCGATAAACTCATTCAAATCAAACAAATGTCTACGTGACATTCTTCCGATGTAATGTATTCCCGTTGATAATGTGCTGTAAATACATTTTTTGCCCTCATAAGCTTTTTTGATGACCTTGGCGCATTCAACAGCATGCGGGACGTCGAACATCTCGCACAGGTGCGTTTTGCTATGACGTCGTTGTTTATAAATAAAGTTGGGCGGTCGAAATTTATGTATGTAATGAGAAAAAAAAACATAATAGGCATGCCGTTGTCATGTTTCCGACAGCGAGGGAAGTACTGTCTAAATTCTCTAGACCAATTTTTTCTTAGAGTGTTCATTTGCCAAAATTAGTCTCATGTTTCTTAAAGGATATGCCATTTGCCAAAATCAGTCTATCTTAGCAAGTGCTAGCCCCGCCCACCCACCCTTTATTTTCTTCGGGTGTATGTCATCTGCCAAAATCCGTCTTATCTTAGCAAAACTAACTTCGCCTACTCGTCCTTTATTTTCTTAGAGAATATATCTTTGCCAAAATCAGTCTATCTCAGCAAGTACTAGGCCCATCCACCCGCCCCTTATTTTCTTAGGGAGTATGTCAGCTGCCAAAATCTGTCTTATCTTAAATAAATCTGTTTATTAGCCCCAAAAAAATGATGTTATCTCAAAATTTTGCGGAATAAGTTTCCATCCAAAATGCGCAAAATATGATGAGTTTTATTTCTGATTCAGTATTGCATTCATATTTTTTATTGATCAAATTAAGAACGCGTTAAACCATTTTACCGAAACTGTGAAAATACAAATGTCTTTATTTAATAAGAATTATAATAATGATATTCAGAACATTTTGTCGATTGCAGTTTACTACTTAATAGTTTTGATCGCCTGTTTTGAGGGGACGAACTCATTCAAATCAAACTAATTTCTACGTGACATTCTTCGGATGTATAAACATAAACACTTTCGAGTTGTTTTTATTATCGAGGATAACCTAAGGACGTACAGTAATGGAGTCCATCGGGCAATTTGGTACGTTCATATTTTCTCGATATTTCATAACCCCTAGGCAAGGCTGTAGCTAGGGGGAGTCTAGGGGATGCTGAGCCTCTCCTAGATCTAGACATGTTATAATTAACCAAATGTGAATTACAACACCGAAAATCAAAATAAAAATGTAGTGTTTTATTCAATAAGCGGAAATCAGAGCAATAAAAAAGTCTGGACCGTCGGCAATTCGTAGAAAACCTCTTTTGTTTAGTTTCTCTTTCACTCTCACGTCTACAAGTTGATAAGTGTTATTGCTATTTGTCTTAAATTATGAATACCATAAATGATTTTTAGTTCAGTCTTCAGTCGCACCTCTGTTATTACATACGGCAGACGTGGTTAAATTGTTTCGTTATTTTATTGGTTATTATAAATCACGATTCAAGAATAACAATAATACTTTTATTATTAGTACTACAATGCATCTACCTAAACTGATATAAAAACTCACTTTTAAAATACGATTGGCACGTTTCTTTATCTTTACTCAAATACTAGATACATATTTTAATTTTAGCTTCTTAAAAATCTGGATGTTTTCGGTAGAAATGTTAAAATGACGTCATGACTATTTTGCGGGCACAAACTATAACAAAAACAGCTCATTCTCTGCAACTCTGGAAAACACTTGGTTGATAATTTCCTTTTCGTACTTGGCTATGGCTTCGTCAAAAGCTGGACCCACATCTGCGTACACTTGCCCAGAATTTTCGTTAATCGTTTTCAGTACTTCGTTACTCAATTGTTCATTTCCGTCGATCAGATTCTGAAAATCGAAAACAACCCTTTTTGGTTTTAATTTAAGCACACTGTCAGTTACACGTATATGTTTTTGTTTCTTTTTTGTGTACTTTTCACACCTTAAGTTGTACATAGCTTCACACTCATCTGAAAAGTATAGAATTTTTCTGAGTTACTAGCGATTACAATTTCTTGTTGAATCTTACACAGAGTATTGTTACATTTTCCGTGGCCATTTATGGGAAAAAGTAGTAGTTGCCCGGTCATTTTATAATCAGATTCCATTCTGATAAGCTCTGTGTGGGTTTTAAACCGCCAGTAGCAGTTTTCGTCACTGAAATTCGCCCTAAAATAGTGAGTAGAATTACCACCTTTGTAAAATTGTGTTATAGAAGACCCACTCAGAGTCGGATATAGTAAAATTCGTTATTCCAAACAGCTTCAAATTTTCGTACACTTGTTGTATAGCAACTGCTCCAGCACTAGAATTTCCAAATTCGAGTTTTTGTATAACAAGCGGTTCCAGAGGAACAATTCCCAGTTCTTTACTACCTTGTTTAAGCTTGTTCACTGAATCGACGACAGTTTTGGCCAAACATTTGCCGAGTTGTGGGTCAGATTTTCGACATTTTTGGATTTCTGGTGCTATAAATTTCAATTACTTTAAAAATTGGACACAGTTGTTTCAATACTTACGTAGACTTTTGGCAGAAACACAAACGAGGACAAGTGATATAAGTACGATTAACATTTCTACAGAACTGTGTCAAGAGTTGCGATAATCTGCACGTTTTGAGAAAGAGTGAGTTGTTTTAATGTATATATATGTATTTTTTTGTTTTTATTTTATACACGTAATTTAATACCGGTACTATAAAGAATTTATTAGGTAAACATAATTATGTAGTTTATGCCTAAATCACGGGAGAAAAAGCTTAGTCACGAACGACGAAGGAAGAAATTTAATTAAATTAATGATCACTTGCATTCCTTGTAATATAAATAACCAGTTTATACTACACTTTTTTCGACAATAACTTTCTTGTATTATTGGTAGGGGTCATGTTCATGTGTTTACATTTTCATTCACAGTTCAAGGAGTACTTACCTATTTCTTTGGTAGTTATAATTACAATTATTAACGTTGTTCTCGCGGTTCTTGTTTCAAGGTAAAAAGTGCATTGTTGGCAGTGTTGGGCAGTATCTAGATAAAATTGAATTTAAACACAAAATATCTGTATCTAGATACAAAATTAATGGCTCAGATACAGATACATTTTTTTATTTCACTTTTTTTTCAGTAGTTATTAGTTGAGTTATACTAGTAGTAATTTTTGATACTTCATGTTGGTATTTTATCCACATAAACAAAAATAGACGTAAGAGGTCCACTAATAGTGTTCTGTGACGGAAATTTTCATATTTTAAATACCATCATTTCCTATATTGTAGCCTTCAGTACTTATACATCTTTAAATATATTCCTGAGGGGTAATAAATCTAAGCCATGGTAAGATGGTATTTTAAAAACCATAAACCACAATTCACTATTCACTGCGTTTTACGCTTATCAGGGCAATGCATTTTATCTCTGTACCTGAGTAACTCGGGTCCGGAGTATTTGTGTTATTAAATAAGAGTAATTTTTAATAGTAAAAATATTTGTTTAAGGTATGTCATTATTTTTAGAAAATAATAATTGCGTGTTACATAATGATTAATTTTTTCAATTAGCACAAATTAGTTCTGTAATCGACTAATCGAATGTTCAATACATACATTTCTCTCGCATAAATCGTATATTTGTTACTGTTTTATATCTTTCTTTTTCAGACAAATGTAGCATCTTTTCCTGTTGCCACATGTGTGATTTCTTCACTTTTTCATTGTTGGACCTAACGCGAGCCGGGCTTGGCAGGTCCGTTTTGCCCTAGAATGTGCAGATTATGTTTAAGTGGAAATCTTGGGCAATAAAATTGATATTTTTACAACCCTCCATAGAATAATTTATCGTGATATATTCTCAGAAATCGTGAAACGAGATTAAAATAAAATGATTTTCAACAAAAATCTGAAAATTTAAAGTTGCACTCTGGTGATTTCGGCCTGCCAGGCAGACTTTGATCCTATAAGGGGTTTAAATACCTATCTAAGAAATTGTACTTGTTTTGCCTTAAACGGAACCAGCAATTCTTCCTAATATGTATATACCTGCCGCACCGGGATAGACGATTACCGGACATGGTCATAAAAACATCGTAAGCCGATATTGAAAAATAATAATTTATGACAGGTTGCCGACAACAGACCTTCAGCACAGAATTATCATTTCCCGTATTCTTTTGAAATATTAATTTTAATGCTGGAGATAATTATTAGATATACTCAAACACAATTTGGACACTGTAGTATGGGAATAAAAACAAAAAAAATATTCTTTTTAAGCGTAGGTACGTAATAAATATTGCACAATTTGCGACATATCAAACAGCGAAGCGATGAGCTATTTGCAGGAAAAAAGAAAAGATTTTTCAGTCTTGAATAACTATGCTACAGTAAAATGTTTATTTTTTAAATTTAATACCATAATCCCTTCTTCTGCACCTGTGGAACGGGTGTTTAGTAGCGGAAACCAAATTCTGACACCAAGAAAAAATAATTTAGGTGACAATACGTTCGAAATGTTGTTAATTTAAAAAAAAAACTGATTAAACAATAGATAAAAAAATACATAAACATGTTTTCAGTTATTTTATTCGCCAAAGCTTCAAAAAGTATCTGTTTTCTTGTATCTGTATCTAGATACATTTCGAAAAAATCGAAAACAATCTGTATCTAGATACTTTTATCTTCCATATATCTATATCTGTATCTAGATACTTTTAAAAGTATATGTCCCCAACACTGATCTTCTCATACTTTCTTTTTTAAATCATTTCACATTATATTTCATAATTCTGTTTCGGTTTTTTATTTTATTTTTCTTCTCGTATTAGTGAATTCTTAATTTTATAAGAAAATGTAAATTTTGCTCTTAGTAAATGGTGATCTGGATTCTAATCTACACGTGTTAATACCTTGACATTGATCACTTGCTGATGAGTTTTTTGTCGAACAATAAAACATTCGATTATTGATTTTCGTTATTTTGTAAGTTAGACGCAGGTAATTAGCATTAGATGTTGTAATGTTTAAAAATGCCGTTTGTTACTTTAGATCATATGTATATCTTATATTCAGGTATCACTTATATTGTATTTTTTAGTATATGTATTATGTTTACTGCTAAGATAAGACTGATTTTGGCAAATGACATATTCTCTAAAAGAAAAAGAAAGGGCAGGTGGGCGGGGCTAGTACCTGCTAAGATAAGACTGATTTTGGTAAACGACATACCCTCAAAAAAAAAAGAGAGCAGTGATTGGTGAACACTAGAAAAATTAGGGTGACTAGGACGATAAGTCAGGACGAGTTGCAGGCTTACTAAGCTGGTTTACAGGCTAGAAGCTGAAGGTGTGAACAGTCAAAATATGGATTGTTTTGTTTTGTGAACAATTTATTTTTAATTACAATAATGGTTTATTAAAACAGCACCATCATGAAAGTAGTTGCTATAATTTTTAATAACATTCTTCTTTAATGGCAGTTTAAATCATACTTGAAAAGTTATTCCTACAAGACAAATTGCATTTTTCTTTAAATAAAATTCAAAATAAAAACCTATGGCAAAAACAACTCATCCTCTGGTACTCTAGAAAACACTCGATTGACAATTTCCTTTTCGATCTTCGCTATGGCTTCATCAAAAGCTGGACCCACATCTGCATACACTTGCATAGGATTTTCGTTGGCAGTCTTTAGAACTTCATTACTCAAGTATTCATTCCCATCGACCAGATTCTTAAAATCAAAAACAACCTTTTTTGGTTTTAGTTTGAACACAAAATCTGTGATCCGTATGTATTTTTTATTGTTTTTTGTGTACTTTTCGCACCTTGTGTTGTACATAGCTTCGCATTCATCTGAAAATTACGCGATTTTTCAGAATCAACTGTGATGATAGTTTTTGTTGAAACTTACACAGAGTATTGTTACATTTTCCGTGCCCATTTATAGGAAAAAGCAGCAGTTTCCCACTCATTTTATAGTCAGCTTCCATCCGGACAAGATTTCCGTAGCTTTTGAGCCGCCAGTAGCAGTTTTCGTCACTGAAATTGGCCCTAAAAAAGTGAGCAGAATTACCAACTTTGAAAAAATTGTAGTACACAATACAAACACGGAGTCGTATATAGTGAAAGTCGTGATTCCAAACAGCTTCAAATTTTCGTACACATGTTGTACAGCAACTGCTCCAGAACTGGAATTTCCAAATTCCAGTTTTTGTATAACAAGAGGTTCCAGAGGAACAATTCCCAGTTCGTTGTACCCTTGTTTAAACCTAAGTATTGAGTCAAAGACCGTTTTGGCCAAACATTCGCCGAGTTGTGGGTCTGATTTTCGGCACTTTTGGATTTCTGGTGCTATAAATTTAAATTATTTTGAAAATGAGATTGTTTATTTCGATACTTACCTAGGCTTTTGGCAGAAACACAACCAAGGACAAGTGATAAAAGCACGATTAGCATTTCTACGAAACTGTGTGAAGAGTTGAGATAAAATAAGGGTTTTAAGAAAGAGTTTATATTTATGAACGTTTATTTAATCGTCGACCTTGTATTTCGTGTTTTTGTGGAATTAATTACATGGCTAAGGTAGTTTTTTAATTTTTTATTTCAACGCAAAAAATGCTGGACGAAATATTTTTACATTATTTATTTAAAGGCGAGGAAATTTAAATATATGCCTACTTCACAAAAAACCTGTGTTATCAAAGTAAATTATTTATCTGTTTCGTGTTTTTTCTTCCCGAGCGTAAGTAGTACCTAATTGAGTCCATCGGACGAATAGCCACTTTTATGTTTTCTCGACGTTTCATGACCCATACAGTACGAAAAAAGTAGTCTCCCGTTTCCGTCTCTCTCTCTGTGTGTAGCTGTTTTTATTAAATACGTAATCTCCGAAACTGCTGGACCGAGTTGTCAAATTTTGTAACTTGGGATTTAAAAACTTGCTGTCGACGTTGAAGTTGCCGTTGCAGTTGCCATTCCCAGTTGATTACTACAAAAATTTACCATTTTAAAGTTTCTTGTTGTCGAAATTAAGTCTGCACATATTAAGAAAAAAAAGGCAAAATATTAACCCCGCCCACCCGCCCTATCTCAATTGTGATGATTTTTTTTATTCGTTGTGAGCCAAGAAGGCGGAGCTTAACTGCAAAATCCTTATTTCTCTACGAGAAATTATAAATATGTTTTTGGGCATCGTGTTGTTCAAAGAATATTATCACAGATATTATGTATATTAAGAAAAAAATAAAGTCAAAAATTAGGCTCCACCCATACCTGCCCCAACCTCAATCCTCAATTGTGATAAATTTTTTATTCGTTGTCATATTTGTTACAAGAATTTACCATTTTAAACATGTTTTAAGTTCTGAAAAGACGATTACGAATATTAATAAAATAGAGACAAAATATAAACCCCACCCAGCTGCCCTGTATCAACTGTGATGATTTTTTTTTTATCGTCGAGAGCCAAGGGGGCGAAATTTAATTGTAAAATCCTTATTATTTCTCTACAAGAAATTACCATGTAAGACATATTTTTGGGTATAGTGCGATTAAAAAAATACTATGTACATATATTAAGAAAAAATTACAGCCAAAGATTAAGTCCTACCTTTACCTGGCCTGATCTAAATAGTAATGAAGTTTTCATTCGTTGGCAAAACTAGGGTTGAAGTCTAATTGCAAAATCCATATTTCCCGACAAAAAATTGCCATTTTAAGCGTTATTTAGGTTTTTAAGAATAAAAAAATCATCACAATTGAGATTGGGTGGGTGGGCGGGGTTAATATTTTGCCTTTTTTTCTTAATATACAATATATTCTTTGAACAACACGATTCTCAAAAACATGTTTTAAATTTCCTGTAAAGAAATACGTTTTTTGCAGTTAAGCTCCGCCCCCTTGGTTCATGGCGAATAAAAAAAATCATTACAATTGAGATAGGGTGGGTGGGCGGGCTTAGATTTTTCCTTTTTGTTTTAATATGTGTCGATTTCTTTTCACAACATGTGTGTACAAGGAAATATCGATTTTGCAATTAACCTCCGCCCTATAATTGCAAAATCCATATTCCCTTGCAAAAATCTACCATTCTGACCATGTCCTAAGTTTCTTCTTGTCAAAAGATGGCTGTGTATATTAAGAAAAAAAAAGGCAGAATATAAGCCCCGCCCACCCACCCTATCGCAATTCTGATGACTTGTTTTTATTGGTCGTAAGCTGAGGGGCGAAGCTTAACTGCAAAAACCATATTTCCTCACAAAAATTTATCATGTGAAACGTGTTTTAAGTTTATAAGAATGAAAAAAATAATCATAATTGAGATGGGGTGGGTAGGCGGGGTTTATATTTTGCCTTTCGTAATATATATGGTATTCTTTGAACAACATGATACTCAATACGTGTTTTTAATTTCTTATAAGTAAAGAAATAAGTATTTTGCAGTTAAGTTCCGCCCTCTTGGTTTACGGCGAATAAAAAAAATCATTACAATTGAGATAGGGCGGGCGGGCGGGCTTACATTTTATTTTTTCGTTTTAATATATATAGACTTCTTTTCACAACATTAAACTTAAAACATGTTTAAAATGGACAATTTGTATAAGGAAATATTAATTTTGCAATTAAGTTCGGCCCTATAATTGCAAAATCCATATTTTCTTGCAAAACTGTACCATTTTGACCATGTTCTAAGTTTCTTGTTGTGAAAAGATGGCTGTGTATATTAAGAAAAAAAAGGTAGAAGATAAGCCCCGCCCACCCACCCTATCTCAATTCTGATGACTTTTTTATTGGTCGGAAGTCGAGGGGCGGAGCTTAACTGCAAAATCCAGATTTCCGCACGAAAATTTACCATCTTAAACGTGTTTTAAATTCTAAGAATAAAAAAATCATCACAATGGGGATGGGGTGGGTGGGCGGGGTTTATATTTTGCCTTTCGTAATATATATGGTATTTTTTGAACAATTTGGTACTCAATACGTGTTCATTACAATTGAGATAGGGCGGGTGGGTGGGCTTACATTTTCCTTTTTCGTTTTTATATGTGTAGACTTCTTTTCACAACATGAATCTTAAAACATGTTTAAAATGGACAATTTGTATAAGGAAATATCAATTTCGCAATTAGGTTCCGCCCTATAATTGCAAAATCCATATTTTCTTGCAAGAATTTACCATTTTGGCCATGTTCTAAGTTTCTTGTTGTGAAAAGATGGCTACGTATATTAAGAAAAAAGGATGCAAAATATATGCCCCGCCCACCCACCCTATCTCAATTCTCATGATTTTTTGTATTCATCGTAAGACGAGAGGCGGAGCTTAATTGTAAAATCCTTATTTTTCTACGAGAAAAAATACAAAGTGTACTAAATGTACCTACTAATTAAAAAAGAAAACTAAATGAGAAGTCCTACCCATCCGTCTCCATCTAGTTATAATACTTAATCTGTTTTTGGGACGAATAGCAATAAATCTTGTTGATTTAAGCGTCGACAACTATCTTTAATACATTGTATAAATACTGACAAAAAGCTACATCGTAGAAAATGATGGCAGCTATTTAAAATATGAGGGTTCAATTGAATTGTTCCCTAACCGTCCAAATTTTTCTTTCAAATCAAAACAATTTTTACTTCTTGAGCGTAAAGTACGGAAATATAGTAATTGAGTCCATCGGACGAATGGCCAGTTTTGTATTTTTTGCCATGCCCCTATTTTCTTGAAAATAGAGAATGCGCCCGGCGATATTTAATAAGGATAAAATAATAATTGAAATTTGCGTTCCCGTGGCGCAGGGATTGGGGGGTGCTATTGACGCCGGTTCATCCGTTCACCGAAAAGACTCGAGGAATTTTTATGACTTTGTTTGTCTAGATGTGTTTACAATTTGTCACGTACTTAACAGTAACACTTAGTGTGTTCGAAAAATTGCTCAACAAAAATGTATCAGTTGTACTTGTGGAGTTGTGCTGCTTGCAGAGCTGTTATTATTTTATTTGATGTGTTTGTGTGGCGAATAATTAGTGCAGAACTTCTTGTACCCTGTACCTAATTTCAATTGATTTATACAACTGGTTCTCAAGATACCTTATTTAACCGTTTCCATACATTCTAAAGACCCTGTATAAACGATATCAGAAAACAATCATTTTTTATATTTTTTCCAAGAAACGGAATTCTTTGGGTTGTACTTCAAGGGCTAGGGAAGTTCTGTCGAAGTAACCTTGGACCAATTTTTTTAACTCAGTTTTAATGTCCCTTGCACTACTTGTTTTTCTATTCTTTAAACTCTTAACTGATTTATCTTATATATATTTATATGTTCGTTCGCAAATTCGACCTTTGGTCGAGATAAGGTGAAAATTATTTTTGTTTAGGTGCAGATATATTTATGGATGTTCTAATGCTAAAAAAAATTCGTTATTTTTTTTATTTGTACATGTTTTACGGTTTATATTGTATTTTTTATTAAGTTTATATATATTTTTGGTACTTAAGTTGTACTAAATACAAACCCTATATTTTCATTGAATGTTAATTTTCTAGTTTTCACTAAGCCTGCTATTGTGTCGTCCAACCGCTCATAATCACCCCAAAAAATGTTAGTAGATTCAAAAACAACGTTCCGGGTATACATATATCACAGTTGTTTAACAATTTAGAAAAAGTTTTTATATAAAAAAGTTTTTAACAAAATATATATTTTTCTCAAATCGTAAGCGTAGTCTTTTTGTCAAATAAAACTAACGATTAAGTTACATATATACATTTATTGACTATCACACATCTAACACTATCTAGTCTTGACACTTATCCGAAAACACCTGATCCACATTCTTGATCTCGATGTTATTCTCCTGAATCTTCTCCACCAAAGACTTCGCCCTATCACACTCGAACAGCGTCAACTTGATCCCGATCCTCTCCAGCTTGGGCAAATTCTCCAAAATCCTCTCCACATTCAACGAATTAATCTTATTCCCGATCAACTCCAACCGCTTCAAATTATTCAACCCATCAAACTCCCCTCCCGTAAAATTCCTGATACTATTCCCCGACAAATGCAACTCCTCCAACTTCTGCAACTTCTTGAACGTCCCGGGCTGGATCTTCTCCACCTGGTTCGTCGGCAGCTCCATCTTCACCAACCCCGGTAAATCGTCAAACGCATTCGGGTCAATCTGCTTGATCTGGCAGTGCTGCAGCCTCAGCTTCTTCAAATTCTTCAACCCCTTGAAGTAGTTGGCCTCCAGAGGCCCCAAATACTGCTTCTCGATCCACAGAAACTCCAGCTTGTTCAGCTGCAGGAACACCTGGTTGTCGAAGAAGCGAAAGTTGTTGTCGTAGACGCGAAGCGTGGTGAGTTTAGGGCAGCAACCTTTAAACACCCTCGTCGTGATGTTGGGAAAGCCGTGGTTGATCCGAATCGTTAAAATCTCCAAATTGGGGAAATTGTGGAAAAATCCGGGCTCGATGTCCGAGATGTTGCTGGATCGTATCACTATCTCCTTGGTTCCGAGACTCGGGTGGAACGTGTCGGCGAAGAGCGTCCCACGGATCAAGGTCAGGTCTAGCTTCTTGCCGTATCTTTTCATGGACACGGGCTTACCCTTCTCGAACTCCATGGAGCTGCATTTGGTCTCGTCCACGGAGCCGTTGTACTCGCAGCAGTGGGTGGTGAACACTAGGAAGATTAGGGTGACTAGGGCGGTTTTCATTTTGTGGAAAAATTTAAACGGCGACAAATGAGATGGGAATGTGTGTTACTTGAGATGGGTTTGAGTGTCGAATGGGGACTGAAGTGTTTTCTTTATTTGATAAGTACTTATATGATTAAGTAATAGAATTCGCGTTTTGCAAATGACAATTTGCATAAGTAAGAGGACTTTAACAAATTTGTCCTTTGTGCCCTATGAATGTAATGACAGTGTTTGTGAGGGGACTTTGGTGGGAATTTCCATATGACGAACGCTTGGCGACATTCGACGCAAAAACTTTCCTGAACTTTTTGTAGCTTCCATGAAATTTAAAAAAAATGCGATCGAAGTAAGTCGCGTAAAATAGCAGACGTACGTCATATTTCGTCAACAACGAAAGTAGATTTACGATCATCAAATAAATGTTTGATTGATGTATAATAATACTAGTGATCCATTTTTAGCCATGACCTACTTAAATATTTTTTTTAGTAACATCCATTCATTACTTATAATTTATTGAAAGTCCTTTGGCAATAAAGAAGTCCGATATAAGAAACCTAAACTAAATTTAGTCACAAATAAACTGGGTAAAACTAGGGTAAAAATAACTCGTCTTCTGGTACTCTATTGAACACTTGATTGAGAGTTTGCTTCCAGACGGTCCCCATCACTTCGTTAAACGCCGGTCCCACATCCTCGTACACACTTTCAGCGTTCTCATTAAGAGTTTTAACCACTTCTTTGCTAAGCTGTTCGTTGCCGTCGATGATATTTTCAAAATCGAAGACGATCCTTTTGGGTTTCATTTGAAATTTGAAGTCACTGACTCGAAAGAAAGTTTTGTTTTTCTTTGTGTAGCGTTCACATGTTGCCTCGTAACGACCTTCTATGTCATCTGGAAGTAAAGAAGATAAAGTAAGTGATTAAACAGGCAAAACAGGTACGACTTTAAGATGACCTCAACTGATAACATCAGTGCTACACCCATTTTTAGTAATTGTCTTTCCTCAAACCAAATGAATAATTATAAACTTACACAAATAATTTGTGCACTTCCCGTATCCATTTATAGGAAAAAGCAGCAATCGTCCCTTCATGCTATAGTCAGACTCCATGCGAACGGCCGGTGTTAAACACGTATATTTCCAGTAGCACTGATCTCCGGAGAAATTAGCACTTGAATACAAATTAGATCAAGGTATCAAATGACGCACTTAATCAACACTCACTCTGAGTCTGTCATGGTGGAATTCGTCATTCCGAACAGCTTCATGTTCTCGTAAATCTGATGAATTGATACCGCTCCAGAGGTAACGTTGCCTAAATCTACCTTAGTAATGATGAAAGGCTCCAAAGGAACAATCCCGAGATCTTTGTTCCCATCTCGAAGTTTAACAGCAGCGTCGGTGGCCCTTCTATCAAGACATTGGTTCAAGTTGGGGTCGGATTTGCTGCACTTTTCTATATAAGGAGCTGGAAAACCAAAAATTTGTTTATTTATTTATTTTTGAATTAATACAGCTTACGTAACATTTTTGATAAAGAAACGTGTAAGAGTACACAGAAAACGAGTTTAAAAAACATTTTGTGTCAGCGGTTGGATTCTGAATGTCTAGAGATTGTTGTTAACGACTGGTGGTTGTGGAACAACTAAAAATAATACACTATCTACAGGTAAGCGAGGATTTGAACTCGAAGTCCTTGCCGGCAGAAGTCGGGTGAAGGTTGGGTGAAAATTGTGTTTACGAGAGACCAGTTCGGATTTACGCATGATACACATCTGAGAGCGTAGAAATATAAACGTAGGTAAATATTTGGGTTTTTAATAAAAAACTACAGTTCTGAACAATTAATTTTCTCAAAATCGTTAAATTAAATGTAATAAAATACATATAAAATTTGACAATAATCAGTTAGGTAGTTTTATCTCGTTAATAAAAATCGACGTAGACGACATACTATAGACGGACAGATTTTTTTCTGATTTTTTTTATTGCTTGCCCATAGAAGACTAGGAAAAAGTAAAAATTAGCCCCGCCCAGCCACCCGGTCTCTCATTGTTTTTCTTCTGAAATAAAACATTAATCTTATAGCAAATATGTAGTACAACAAAACAAGTTACGTTAGAACTTTGTTTTACTTTTTTTTACAGCATAGGTTCTAATTAATTCCCAATTCCACTCTACAGAAGAAAAAATAATTAAACCCGCCCACCCACCCGCCTATATTTTAGTGATTAATTATATCTGCTCTAAATGAAAGGTGAAACTTATACTGAACCGGCATAAAATTTATCGTTAGAATGAGAAGAGGGCGGGTGGGTGGGGTTAGTACTTGCTAAGATTCTACTGATTTTGGCAGATCTTTTATTGAAAAATGACATACTCTCTAAAAAAATAGTGGTGTTCCACTTGAAAAACACCTTATATACGGGGTTGGGATATAGTTCTCGATGTACTGATTAGAAAAAATTATGTGTTACCTGTTCTTGAGTAAAATTTTAAAAATGTTTGGTTTTGTAGTCGATTTTTTTCAATAATCTTAATAATTACTCCTAATTTATTCGGAGTTTTTGAACAAAGTGTAGAAGTTTTTGAAGAAATGAGGTCTAAACTAACTTTTCGAGGACGAAATAAAAAAAAAATAAGTAATTTTTGGATGTGGTTCAAAAAAAGTAAAATTTTCATATATCCTAGATTTTTTTGTGAGTTTTTTTATTGCTTGCCCATAGAAGACTAGGAAAAAGTCAAAATTAGCCCCACTCACCCACCCAGTCTCTCATTGTTTTACTTCTGAAATAAAAAATTAATCTTATAGGAAATTGTAGTACAACAAAACAAGTTACGTTAGAACTTTTCTTTTTTACTTTTTTTCTACAGCCTAGGTTCTAATTAATTCCCAATTCCACTCTACAAAAGAAATAATAATTAACCCCGCCCACCCACCCGCCTATATTTTAGTGATTAATTGTATCTGCTCTAAATGAAAGGTGAAACTTATACTGAACCGGCATCAAACTTATCGTTATAATGAGAAGAGGGCGGGTGGGTGGGGTTAGTACTTGCTAAGATTCTACTGATTTTGGCAGATTTTTTATTGACAAATGACATTCTCTCTAAAAAAATAGTGGTGTTCCACTTGAAAATCACCTTATACACGGGGTTGGGCTATAGTTCTCGATGTACCGATTCGAAAAATTTATGTGTTACTGGTTCTGCAGTGAAACTTTAGAAATATTTGGTTTTGTAGTAAAATTTTTCAATAATCTTAATAATTACTCCTAATTTATTCGGAGTTTTTGAACAAAGTGTAGAAGTTTTTGAAGAAATGAAGTCTAAACTAACTTCTCGAGGTCGAAATAAAAACAAATTTAGGTAATTTTTGGATGTGGTCCAAAAAAAGTAAAATTTTCATATATCCCAGATTTTTTTGTGATTTTTTTATTGCTAGCCCATAGAAGACTAGGAAAAAGTCAAAATTAGCCCCGCCCACCCACCCGGTCTCTCATTGTTTTACTTCTGAAATAAAAAATTAATCTTATAGGAAATATGAAGTACAACAAAACAAGTTACGTTAGAACTTTTCTTTTTTACTTTTTTTTACAGCCTAGGTTCTAATTAATTCCCAATTCCACTCTACAAAAGAAATAATAATTAACCCCGCCCACCCACCCGCCTATATTTTAGTGATTAATTGTATCTGCTCCAAATGAAAGGTGAAACTTATACTGAACCGGCATAAAACTTATCGTTAGAATGAGAAGAGGGCGGGTGGGTGGGGTTAGTGCTTGCTAAGATTCTACTGATTTTGGCAGATCTTTTATTGACAATTGACATACTCTCTAAACAAATAGTGGTGTTTCGCTTGAAAAACACCTTATATACCTGGTTGGGATATAGTTTTCGATGTACTGAATCGAAAAAATTACGTGTTACTGGTTCTGGAGTAAAACTTTAGGAATATTTGGTTTTGTGGTCAATTTTTTTCAATAATCTTAATAATTACTCCTAATTTATTCGGAGTTTTTGAACAAAGTGTGGAAGTTTTTGAAGAAATAGGGCCTAAACTATCTTCTCGAGGTCGAAATAAAAAAAAAATTAGATAATTTTTGGATGTGGTCCAAAAAAAGTAAAATTTTCACATATCCCACATTTGTTTGTGATTTTTTTAATTGCTTGCCCATAGAAGACTAGGAAAAAGTCAAAATTAGCCCCGCCCACCCACCCGGTCTCTCATTGTTTTTCTTCATAAATAAAAAATTAATCTTATAGCAAATATGTAGTGCAACAAAACAAGTTACGTTAGAACTTTTTTTTACTTTTTTTTACAGCCTAGGTTCTAATTAATTCCCAATTTCACTCCACAGAAAAAAAAAATAAAAAAGTGTAGACGTTTTTGAAGAAATAAGGCATACACTATATAAAGACCGTGAATGGATAACATACGTCTAAATTTTGATCTGATCTAAATGTCTTTCGGTCTATTCGGGGTTACCCTAACTAGGAATTATAATAAATCTATTCGTCCTTCGGTGGCAATGAAATAATTTAATTTAGGTTCGCAAGGCGCCGTTAGCACGTTTACCAATTTGATCTATCCTTTTTATGATCGCTAGAATCATTTAGTTTTATTCTCAGTATTTATCTCCTCATACGGAACCAGAGTATTAACAAAAATTATTTTTTAAAGATTCTTCTAGACCTTGTTTTATGAATTCAAACGCATTATATTACGAAAACTTGTTTATATTTAGTCTGGAGTGCACTTGTCCTCGCATGATAGGAAACGGATTAATAATTACTCTAAAAATACGAATGCACGTATGGCAGTGCGAACACGTGCAGTGTAGTACTAAAAATAAAACATTAAGGTGTAGCGTTCTTGATTTGATCATTAAAAATATAGTTAATAGTAGTAACTTTTTTATGTGGAAAATTTATATTATATTTGTGCCTTGCAACAGGAACCACAAATACTGCATTAATAATGCAATTAATTACCATATTATTGAATTGTGAACGAAAATGCAAATACTTGGTCATTATCATTATTACACTAGAGTTATTGTCAAAAAGTGCATATAAAATAATAATTTACATTACAAGGGATGTAGATTGTGGCCGAGCTTTAGCGAGCTACACAACACACATGTATAATAAACATTTTCTGGCACCGGTTTTAAATTACCATAAAATAAAACAAAAAGAAAAAGAAGGTCGACAATTAAATATGTATTTAAGCAGCTTAATCTTTCTCAAAACCTGCATTTTATCTCAACTCTTCACACAGTTTTGTAAAAATGTTAATCGTGCTTTTATCACTTGTTCTAGTTTGTGTCTCTAGCAAAAGTTTACGTAAGTACCGAAACGATTTTTTCTAATTTCAAAATATTTTAAATTCACAGCACCAGAAATCCAAAAATGCCGAAAATTTGACCCAAAACTGGGCGAATGTTTAGCTGAAAAAGTCGGTGACGCACTGCACAAGTTTAAACAAGGTAACAAGGAACTGGGAATTGTTCCTCTGGAACCTCTTGTTGTACCAAAATTGGAGTTTGGAAATTCTGGTGGTGGATCAGTTGCTATAAAACATGAGTACGAAAACTTGAAGCTGTTTGGAATATCAACTTTTACTTCATACGACTCCGAGTGTGTACCGTTTAGTAACATTTTTCTAAAGTTGATAATTCTAATCACTGTTTTAGGGCGAATTTCAGTGATGCAAACTGCTACTGGCGGTTCAAAAGCCACGCAGAGGTTGTCCGAATGGAAGCTGATTATAAAATGAGTGGGCAACTGTTACTTTTCCCCATAAATGGGCACGGGAAATGTAACACTACTTTGTGTAAGATTCCACAAAATGTTGTATTCGCAGTTAACTCTGAACAGATATAATTTTCAGATGAATGCGAAGCTGTGTACGACACAAAGTGTGAAAAATACGCAAAAAAGAATCAAAAACACATTCGTGTGACTGATTTTATTCTGAAAATAAAGCCGAAAAGGATTGTTTTTGATTATGAGAATCTGATCGACGGGAATGAACAGTTGAGCAACGAAGTTCTAAAGACGGTTAACGAAAATTCCGAGCAAGTGTACGCAGATGTGGGGCCAGTTTTTGACGAAGCTATAGCGAGGATCGAAAAGGAAATTGTTAATCAAGTGTTTTCCAGAGTGCCAGAGGATGAGTTGTTTTTGCCCTAGGTTTTTATTTTCAGTTTACATTGTACAATAAATTATCACATTATGGCATTTTAGATAACTTATTGTATATATTTTATGAGTTTGATTATTTTTCACAAAACGACACAATTTTTCACATTGAAATAGGTCTTTCGTTTCCGTCTGTCTGTTTGTCCGTCTGTCCGTCTGTCTGCCGTCCCGGATTTTTATTCTAACCAACTCACCAATAATGTGAGTCACTTCAAGATTCTTAGTTTATATGTTGTAAAGCAACTTAAGTGTGCCATTGATAAATATATAATGATAACAAAGATTTTTATAAAGTATATATTTAAATATTCTCACCTTTAAATAAATAATGTAAAAATATTCCATCCAGCACTTTTCGGGTTGAAATAAAAGTTTGGAAAACTACCGTAGCAATGTAATTAATTAATAATTACCATATAAATGCGAAATACAAGGTCGACGATTAAATAAACATTCATAAACATAAACCCTTTCTCAAAACCTTTTAGCATTTTATCTAAACTCTTCACACAGTTTCGTAAAAATACTAATCGTGCTTTTATCACTTGTCCTTGTTTGTGTTTCTGGTAAAATTCTACGTAAGTATCGAAATAACTATGTATATCTCATTTCCAAAATAATTTAAATTCACAACAGCAGAAATTCAAAAGAGGCGAAAATCTGACCCAAAACTCGGGGAATGTTTGGCAAAAACACACTTTGACTCAGTTTAAACAAGGTCACGATGAGCTGGGAATTGTTCCTTTGGAACCTCTTTATACATATACAAAAATTGGAATTTGAAAATTCTAGTGTTGGAGGCAACATATGTACGAAAATTTGAAGCTGTTTGGAATCACGTACGATTTTCACTAATTTTGAGAACTGAATCGAATTATATCATGTTATCTTTAAACAACTGAATTGTTTCAAGGTGACCCAACTGCCCTGTAACAGCTATAACGCTCAGCAAGCATGTTTACCAATGTGTTGTTAGTTATAGTTAGTTTTAAACATATAAATTTTATTTTTATTTGATCTTGTATTTAATATTTATTTATCTGCAGAGTACGAATGTTTTCTGATTGTCAAGAAAATAAGAAATACAAAAATTTGTTTACTTCAGAAAACGTTGTTTTTAAAAAAGTATTTAATTAACTTGTTTAAAATAAAAGTACGAAGTTTAAAACTGCATTTTGTTCGATTCTGGTTTAATTAATAATTTTAGTTCTCTGTGTTGAGAAGACAAACTTCTTTCGATGTTTAAACATAAACAAGCGAAGTTAAGCATGTACACTGATAATAATACACTCTTTTCCGTTGGTTATTTGCTTTGAATATATTTTATATTGTTCGTATGTCTGCGGACGGCACCTCCTTGGAATTTGTCATTTACACCACGGGTTTTACTATATAAAGGTTATCAGAAAACAATTTTTTTTATAATTTTTCAAAAAAGCGGAATTCGTTGGACTGTACTTCAAGGGCGAAGGAAGTTCTTTGGAAGTAACCCTCGACCACTCTGTAAATTTGTTTATATTAGTCCAAAAGTGTGAATACATTGACAAAGCGCAAGTCTACGCCTATATTTCTAGTGAGTTTGTTCACTTGAAAATGTTCCGATCAAGAAGTTAACCGAACATACGACGCAAACCAACTGATACATGACTAGCCCTTTTCGTGTTTTCTCACGTTGCTTATCAGTACGCCGCTTTTTTGGCTCTTAACCGTAGTCGTTCTGTGCCATTCACTGGCGTGTATAACAATTTATATTTAATTTAAAATAATCTTACCATAGTGCAATAAATCCATTTTTTTTCTAAATCAGGGTGTATATATATATAATATATAGGGTGATTATGAGCGGTTAAAAGTTAAGGAGAAACAGAACAGAGAAACTATTTGTTAGAAGAAGACCATAAAATAATTACATAATGCACTTTTTGCCTTGAAACAAGAACCGCAAACACTGCATTAATAATGCACTTAATTAACACAGGATTGCGCCTTGAACTAAAAGAACGAAGATGCAAATACTCGTACTTGGCTACTAGCAGTATTACACGAGAGTAATTGTCAAAAAGTACAGTACAAAATAATTAGTTCCGTCACAGGAGATGTAGATTGTGCCCGAGCTTTAGTGAGGGCTGGCAAAATTTTACATTAAAATTCGCTTCTTCGTCGTTCGTGACCAAGCTTTTTTCCCATGATTTATAAGCCACATGAACTTGACACACATGTTTAATAAACATTTTCTAGCACTGGTGCTACATTGCGTCTATAACATAAAAACAACAAGAAAAACAAGGTCGATAATTAAATATACATTTAAAATAACTTACTCTTTCTCAAAACCCGCATTTTATCTCAACTCTTCACACACTTTTGCAGAAATGCTAATCGTACTTGTATCACTTGTAGTTTGTGTCTCTAGCAAAAGTTTACGTAAGTACCGAAACCATTTTGCCTCATTTCCAAAATATTTTCAGTTTACAGCACCAGAAATTCAAAAATGTCGAAAATTTGACCCAAAATTGGGAGAATGTTTAGCCGAAAAAGTCGTTGACTCAATGCACAGGTTTAAACAAGGTAACAAGGAACTGGGAATTGTTCCTCTGGAACCTCTTGTTATACAAAAATTGGAATTTGGAAATTCTGGTGATGGACCAGTTGCTATACAACAGGTATACGAAAATTTGAAGCTGTTTGGAATCACAGCTTTCACTATATACGACTCGGAGTGCGTATTGAATAATACAATTTTTTCAAATGTGGTAACTCTGCTCACTATTTTAGGGCCAATTTCAGTGACGAAAACTGCTACTGGAGGTTCAAAAGCTACGGAAATCTTGTCCGAATGGAAGCCGATTATAAAATGAGTGGACAATTGTTACTTTTCCCTATAAATGGCCACGGGAAAAGTAACAACACTTTGTGTAAGATTCAACAAATTTTGTGATCGCAGTTAACTCTGAAAAAGCGTATAATTTTTAGATGAATGCGAAGCTGTGTACAACACAAGGTGTGAAAAGTACACAAAAAGGAATCAAAAACACATTCGTATGACTGATTTTGTGCTAAAACTAAAGCCAAAAAGGATTGTGTTTGGTTTTGAGAATCTGATTGACGGGAATGAACAGTTTAGTAACGAAGTTCTGAAGACGATCAACGAAAATTCTGAGCAAGTGTACGCAGATGTGGCTCCAGCTATTAACGAAGCTATAGCGAAAATCGAAAAGGAAATTGTTAATCAAGTGTTTTCCAGAGTGCCAGAGGATGAGCTGTTTTTGTCATAAGTTGTCACTGTACAATAAATTATCACAACTGCGACAACTGATCGCAGCGACAATTGATCGCACGTAAATTGATCGCAGCCTCAATTGGTCGCAAGGTAAAAGTCATCGGGAAGTATTTTCTTTTATTAAAACTAAATATTTTGTATTCTGAATTTTAAGTTGCAATAAATTTAGCAATCAGGTAAGGTGTAAATATCGAATTAAAAACAATTTGAATATAGATAAGTGACGAAGTTTGTAGATCCACTTTAAAAATTAAAAAATACGAGCGTAAACATCTTGTTACATAAGATTTTGTATTCATAAATTGTCATTTTGGTTATTTTTTTTAAGAGATTGTTACTATTTATGTCGTTGCTTATTTTACCTATTATATTATAGGAACTAGCTTCATTATAATAAGTACTCAACATAAAAAAAAGTGTTTATTGTTCTTAACTAGATTTATTATACAATTATTTAAAAAATCATATTTTTAACAACCTTTAAATTTTAACACATTTTGATACAGAATTGCCTCTATTGTCTATTCTTGTCTTTATACATATCACCAAACATAAAATTTATGAACTAATGGTACATCTAGAGTATTCATGTGCAGCGAATGTAAATTCCACTGGACGGATATAATACTTATTTTAATCCCTTGTAAATTCCAGCGGATCTTTTACAGGGTTTGAGAAAGGTTTACGTGTATTGTAAATATATATTGCAAAAAATTTTGTTAGAGCGTCAAGAATAATTTTGTGTTACCGGGAAATCTAAGAAATGTAGGTACTTATGCAACTAAAAACTTACTTTTTAGTTATTATTATGTGACTAGTATTGTACTGAAGAAAAATTCAGTTGTATCATATGTGGGTGTAAAAAATACATATACAGGGTTAGTCACGAGAAAACTACTTCTGAGAAGAAAAGCATGAATCACTTACTTAAGTGTCTAATTAATAAGACGAATAAATCCAAATGAACATTACAGTAGCATACCGACGAAATATGTGTCACCATTAAAAACATTATTTTACAATATTTTCACTTTTTTGCACTTTGGTTTAGTCGGAAATGAGCCTAATAGCTACTGTTTTTATGGAACTCGTATGTATTTATTTTGACACTTTTTTAGAAATATTGAAATTTTTGAGAATTGAGAAAAGAAATTTAACTTTATTTTATTTTTCTCATTCATAACAATTATTTATTTTCTCTATAAACGCTATCAAATTTCGCCTGCGATCAACTGTCGCATGCGACCAGTTGTACTTGCGACGAATTATGTTGCGATGAATTGGGACTGCGACGAGTTATCTTTGCGACCAGTTGTAGGTATGAAGCGCTTAGGCAAGCAGTTATACAGATGCGTGCGCTGTTTGTCGTGCGTCCTTGGGCATTTAGTAAATCATATAATAATAATAATAATAATAATAATAATAGGTTTTATTTTCCCAACAGACACAAGGTCCATATAGAGATAGAATCATACATTGATAACTAATGGCAAAAAAAAAAAATGAATAGAAAAAATAATTAAAACTAATAATAATAATAATAATAACAATATAAACATAATTTCCAACCTCATAACAACTAAACAAAATATACTATTAACATTGCATATAGTAGTCAAGTAATTGATCCTTAACCTTACGTTTGCTCAAATCATCATGAAAAATGTCAATTTTATTTTGAATACAATTCCATAATTTGAAAGAATTTAACATTGGCGAGTTGTAATGGTGAAAAGTGTTTGGGATGTTATAGAAGAAGGTAAGTGGCGATCTGCTTACAGCCCTAGGGACGACTATTTTTATTTGATTAAGTAAATATTCACTCTTAATTGATCCGTTAACTATTTTTTGAATGAACGCTAAACTAGCCACATTTCTTCTACTCACCAAAGACCTTTCATTAACTAAATTAAGAAGCACATTTTGATTACAATGTAGAACTGGATATTGTCCGAACATTTTAAAAAATAAAAATTTGCAATATTTGCGTAAGACGTTTTCAAGTAGTGTAACATACATTTGTTGTGCAGGACTCCATATACTACTGCAATATTCAAGTTTGGTCCTAACTAAGCTATTAAACAATAACCTTATGGAGAATATATTACGAAAATCTGAACTGTTACGTATTATAAAACCTAACAATTTTAAAGCACTATTTGTAATATATTCAATGTGCGGCACAAATGATAATTTTGTATCAATGATAACACCTAGATCCCTAAATTGATTACAACGTTCCAAAACATTACCATTTATATTGTAATTGTAATTAATTAGGTTTGTTTTCCTGGTTATCGACATAATCTTACATTTTGATTTATTAATGACAAGACAGTTTATTGAGCAATATTTAACAAAGGAGTCAATGCTGTCTTGCAAATCATAACAGTCAGACGATGAGTTTATAAACTTAATGAGCTTCAAGTCATCAGCGTATACAAAAAATTTGGAGTTGATGTATTCAGAAATGTCGTTAAAAAATATAATGAATAAAAGCGGTCCTAGATTTGACCCTTGCGCTACTCCACTATTACAACTAAATTCACGCGATTTGTAACCATTATATTCCACGTACTGGAATCTGTTCATAACCATGGCTTTTAACAATGAAACTAAGCTGGCACAAAAACCAAATCTCTGCAGTTTTTTCAGTAGAATACAATGGTGGACCTTATCAAAAGCTTTAGTTAAATCGGTGTAAATCACATCAACTTGTAACCTATTATCCAGTGCTTGAGATACCAACTGAGTAAATTCAAATAAATTAGTTGATGTTGATTTACCCTTAATAAAGCCGTGTTGATCATTCGAAATAAGATTAACTACATGTGCATATATGGCATTGGACAAGATACTTTCAAACAATTTAGCAAAATTTGATAATATAGCTATAGGTCTGTAATTATTAATATCAAACTTATCACCATTTTTGAAAACTGGACAGACTCTGGATATTAACCAGCTACTGGGATATACAGATGTTTTTATGATTAAATTAAAAATATGAAGAAGAGGTACTACGAAACAACTAATACAGTCAGATACAATAAATGCAGGAACCCGGTCAGGACCTGCAATGTTATTAGACTTAATTCTTTTAACGGCCTTAACAACGTCAGACTCATTTATTTTAAAAGGATGTAGAACAGAAGAAGATTCACAGCTAGATTTCAATTGTAAAGATGGGCAGCACTTTTTATCACAGAATTCACAACGAATATTATCACAATACTGATCACATATATGATTATCACTAGAACTAAATACCCCAGCAAATAGGTGACCAAAGGCGTCAACGATGTCTTGCGACGATGTGAATGTGTTACCATCAGAAATCATATTTCAGGGATCCTACTTTGATTTTTCTTATTATTAACAAACGTCCAAAAATTTTTTGGATTATCTTTAATGGAATGTTCAGCATTTTTTAAAAACGAAGAATATGCATTACGTATATCATACTTAATTTTACGCCTCAGTTCTTTGTGTTTGTCTAAGTGATTAATTATACCAGTTTTCTTGTACTTATTCCAATGATATCGCCTTTGTTTGATTGCATCGATTATAGATTTAGTGAACCATATAGGATAGTTATGTCGTTTTGAATGGCCACTACTTAATGGTACAAACTGTGAGAACAAATCAAACAATACATCATAAAAATAGTTGCAAGCTGTATCAACATGTTTAATTTCTTCTATTTTAGACCACTCAAACGTCGATATTGATGAATAGAGGCCAACTAAATCAGCTTTCTTAAAATTAAAATAGAACGAATTTGGGTTATTCCGAAAATATGAGCTTTCAACTAGTTTAACTGTAATATTTATACTTAAGCAGGGATGATGTAAATCTTCACGAACTAATGGGAACTCCTCTTTGGAAATGTTAGTGATAACATCCTTGGTTGACACAACCAAATCAAGTAAACGTGCATTGTGATTCAGAATTGTATTCCACTGGGTGAGGCCATTAAGGCTGAGAAAGTGTTTAAAAATATTGAAAAGATACGACATTCCCATACCATTTAAACAGTCAACAAATTCAGGGATATTAAAGTCACCTGTTATAAGTACTGGGTGCGTAAAGGCAATAGTTGCTTCCAAATATTCTAATAGACGATCATATATATTATGTACAAGTCCTGGTGGGATATATAGCGATGCAATTACGAAGCTCTGTAAACCGCTAGATATTTTTACAGCAACTAACTCTATTTCCGGAATAGGTGATTTAGAAATAACACAGCATGCCGAATATTTATCCTTAATAGCTATAAGAACACCTCCCCCTCTTGATGTTAATCTATCGCAGCGAAATACGTTGTATCCCATAGGAAAAAGCTCAGAATTAGCAACTCCTTCATGCAACCATGTTTCACTTAACATAACTATGTCAGCATCACTTGCACAAATATTCATATAAAATTCATTTACCTTTGAGTTGAGTCCTCGAACATTTTGATAAATTATATTGAAATTAGTTGAGGTGACTTGGTCAATAATTATCCGTTGGGATGTTATTGGTTTTTTTTTATATTAGGCATACCGTTGCGATATTTCAGTGTGATGTCATTCTCTCCTGCTGCAATCCTTCTCTTGAATTCATTGCGAATGCTGTAAGCCTTCTTTTGCTGCATCGGAGTCAGATCTCTGTTGATAAATATTTTATCAGAAGTCCTATATTTAACAATGACATTACGAGCAATACTAGACGATGAGAAAACCACACGAATGGGACGTATTTTTTGATTCGAAAATTTACCTATACGATGATGCTTAACAATATCAGAGGAAACAATACTGTTGTTGTTAAGTACTTTTTTTATTTTATTAAGATCATCAGCTACTTTGTCATCCATTAAATTTTCCTCTGATTCAGGCAAGTTGCTTATTATTATATTGTTGGCACGGGTTTGTCTCTCCTCGAGTTCATTGAACAGCATTTCTTCATCAATAAGAGTTTGCGATAACAACTTACTATCATTTTTTGGTATCTGTTTTATTTCGGCGATTTCTGTTTTTAGAGCTGTAATTTCGGCTTGTAGCGTATGTACAACTTCCACAATATTACACTTTTTGCAGAAAAAGTGTATTTTACGATTAACACTACGAAGACACCCAATTTCTTGACGAGATAGTCCATAACAAGCTCCATGTAATACATCTTTACAGATGTCACAAACTACTTTGTCTTCTTCTTTAATAACAATATTACATGTGTTACAAACTGGTTGAGGCATTATGTTTTGTTGTATACCACTTCAATCAGAAACTTTAGTTAAACCTGTGTACACACAGCACGATCACGTACAGCTGTGTCTATCATATATAAAATGATAGGCGGCACCCTTCTATAACCTACTGCGACCCTATAATCATTTATAGAAACCCTATATAACATTAAATAGAATCCATTTAGTATGATAATGAAGATATTATGAAGAATATACTTAAATGCTCTCATTTTTAAATAAATAATGTACAGATACGAGTACTTTACTCTGTACTTTTTGCATCGAATCAAGAATTTGGAAAACTACATTAGCAGTACCATTAATTATCATAGAAACAGGCCTTGAACTATATACGAAAACGTAAAAACGTAGTTGTGGCAGTATTATAAGTGAGTTGTCAAAAAAGCGCATTCAAAAAAGCGCATTTAAAAAACCTGATTTCTGTTACATGTGCATCAGATTACGTCAATAAAATAAATAAAAAAGTCCAAGGTCGAGAATTCAATAAATATTTAAGACGACTTATTCTTTCTCAAAGGTTGCATTTTATTTCAACTCTTTAGACAATTTAGTAGAAATGTTAATCGTACTTTTATCACTTGTCTTTGTTTGTGTTTCTGCCAAAAGTCTACGTAAGTATTGAAATAATTGCGTTAATTTTCAAAATTATTTAAATTCGCAGCACTAGAAATCCAAAAATGCCGAAAATCTGACCCAAAACTCGGCGAATGTTTGGCCAAATCTGTCGTTGACTCGATACAGAAGTTTAAACAAGGTAACAAGGAACTGGGAATTATTCCTCTGGAGCCACTTGTTATACAAAAACTGGAATTTGGAAATTCTAGTACTGGAGCAGTTGCTATACAACATGTATACGAAAATTTGAAGCTGTTCGGATTCACAAATTTCACTATATACGACTCCAAGTGTGTGTTGCATAATACAATTTTTTTTCATCGTTTCTAATCCTATTCACTATTTTAGGGTGAATTTCAGCGATGAAAACTGCTATTGGCGGTTTCAAACCTACACAGATCTGATCCGGATGGAAGCTGATTATAAAATGAGCGGGAAGCTGTTGCTTTTTCCTATAAATGGGCACGGGAAATGTAACAATACTCTGTGTAAGTTTAACAAAAAATGTTCATTGTAATTGATTCTGAAAATCGTACAATTTTCAGATGAATATGAAACTGTTTACGACATGAGTTGCGAAAAGTACACAAAAAAGAATCACAAACACATACGCATGACAGATATTGTCATCAAACTAAAACCAAAAAGGATTGTTTTTGATTTTGTGAATTTAATCGATGGGAATGAACAGTTGAGTAATGAAGTTCTAAAAACGCTCAACGAAAATTCGATGGAAGTGTATGCAGATCTGGGTCCAAGTTTTAATGAAGCCATAGCCAAGATTGAGAAGGAAATTATCAATCGAGTGTTTTCTAGAGTGCCAGAGGATGAGTTGTTTTTGCCATAGGTTTTTATTTTCAATTTTATTTAAGGGAAAGAACAGTGCATCTTGTAATAACATCATTCGTATTATAATTTAAATAGCCATTATTACATTAAAAGGTTAGAAAAACTTCTTTTTTTTATTCATTTAAAATCGTGTTTTGATACTTATATTTAATTGCTGCTGTCTTAATTAAACAATTATTGTAGTTAGAAATAAACACGTTGTCATATCTTTTTTGTAGATAATTTATTGGCAATTTTTGTGATTTTCATTATTGTTCACAAAAGAATTGATATTTTGACACTCTTCGCCGACACGTTCCACCCAAGTTTCGGAACCAAGGAGATAGTGATACGATCCAGCAACATCTCGGACATCGAGCCCGGATTTTTCCACAATTTCCCCAATTTGGAGATTGTCACGATTCGGATCAACCACGGCTTTCCCAACATCACGACGAGGGTGTTTAAGGGCTGCCGCCCTAAACTCAGCACGCTTCGCGTCTACGACAACAACTTCTGCTTCTTCGACAACCAGGTGTTCCTGCAGCTGAACAAGCTGGAGTTTCTGTGGATCGAGAAGCAGTATTTGGGGCCTCTGGAGGCCAACTACTTCAAGGGTTTGAAGAATTTGAAGAAGCTGAGGCTGCAGCACTGCCAGATCAAGCAGATTGACCCGAATGCGTTTGACGATTTGCCGGGGTTGGTGAAGATGGCGCTGCCGACGAACCAGGTGGAGAAGATCCAGCCCGGGACGTTCAAGAAGTTGCAGAAGTTGGAGGAGTTGCATTTGTCGAGAAATAGTGTTAGGAATTTTACTGGGGGGGAGTTTGATGGGTTGAATAGTTTGAAGCGGTTGGAGTTGATCGAGAATAAGATTAATTCGTTGAATGGAGAGGATTTTGGAGAATTTGCCCAAGCTGGAGAGGATCGGGATCAAGTTGACGCTGTTCGAGTGTGATAGAGCGAAGTCTTTGGTGGAGAAGATTCAGGAGCGGAGTTTGGAACTCCTGGTTATGGCTGTTCTCCCACCACGACGGTGATTCTACTGTATCACGAAGAATGGTGCCGTCCGAGCACGCCGTGACGGTCGTAAATTCATGGTTGGAAATCCCGGCTATTGGGGCAAGCTACCAGCGTCACGTCATCCCCTAACTTCTATTCAAGATCTGCGTCTTTTGTGCAATTGACGCGACCGCCAGCTCGACAAGGAACCGCGCACCCCGCTTCCGCCACGTGTTCCTGTGTTATTTACCTCAATTCCTTTTAAATCTACAATTTCTATGACTCTGCTATTAAATTACAATCGAACAGGTGTAAAAGTTTCAAGAAGAGCAATAAACAACATTTAGATTCGCCATACGCTCTCGTGAAATTTAAATGTTAAATTGTCTTAATCCAAGTAACTGGTTACTTAAAACAATTAGCTTTAGGGGTTTATATCGTGGACTGTTCCTAGCTTATCCCAAATAAACGCATAACAAATAAACAAAAAGTACATCCCTCGTCGCGATAATTACGTCTGGGTGGTATAATTTAATTTCCCACGTCGCGAGAGATACGTCTCGATGATGTGATGATGATATTGTAACGAGTTTTTTCCCTTTTCGGTGCTGGGGTAGTCGGTCGAAGACGGTCACTTCCAGCTTCAAAGAAAACCACTAGTGGTAGGAAAATATTTATTAAACACACAACGTAAGTACAGAGAGAGCGTTTATAACGGGTCTTATCTTGCCACGTCAGCGACGTCAGTCGTGACAGCCTGTGAGAAGAGGGGTGACCCAACTAGTGCCCCGGCTGGAGGGGATCACTCGCTCTTAGGTTGCCGGCCTGGAGCGCATCGTTAGAATATCCTAAGGAGAAAAAATTTTATCCCCACGTCCCTCAGTCCACGATATTATGATTTCTACCGCACTTTCCACGGTACTTTTCCCAGAGTTTGATTAGGTTGATTTAACTGCCATAAATGAACTACTAGCAATCTTGTGCTAAGAATTAAGAAGTGTTATGATGTAACACTTAAATATAAGCATCGAGAAACCTTATTTATAACTTGATAAACAAAGGATGAGTCCTGACTCCTGGCTACATGAATCTCATAAAATCTCCTAGGAAGGCCTTTATCTGAACAATCTCATGACTGTTAAATTGTTAGAACCAGTGACGATTAAATTCCTAGCATCAAGTGTGAATTTACAAACAATGTTAACCTCGGTCGAACATTCACCTATTTCCGATTAGAAAAACAGCAATAATTAGCTACGCTTGTTGAAGAAACTGTGGCGTCGTAATCGGTACGATTAATTTTCGTTAAACAAAGGCTCCCCCTTTTTATTAACCACCAAACCTACTAAACTTAATCTAGCTTCCTTACCGCGTGCTTTCACTTCCACCAAACAAGCAACAGTGACGCTTCTCACCCCTCTAACAAGCAAGCCAACTTCCACCAACCCTCTCACTAGATACTTTTCAGAAATTCCCCTAGAGGAGCTACCAACTATCAGAAAAGAATCAAATTAGCAATATGGTTGCCTATGTTTAACGATTTTCTTAATTAATTTTTTTTTCAAATTCAAATTATTTAAATGCGATTTCGCGCCGTTGGTTTTTTTTTCAGCGCGAAAGTTTAATTCAAATTTGGTCACCACAGCGTATATGTAACTTAATCGTTAGTTTTTACTTGACAAGATTGTCTTAGCAGTCAGGAATTCCTGTTGCAACATGAAATTGAACAATAAATTTCATTGTGTTTATTGTAAATTCTATATTTAAATAACGTAAGGTATGAAGCAGTTAGGCAAGCAGTTATACAGATGCGTGTGGTATTTGTCTTGTGTCCTTGAGCATTTAGTAATGCACATATAAAGTAATAGGCGGCACCGAGGGCGGCACCCTCTCATGACTTACTGCCACCCTATAGTCATTTATAGAAACCCTGTATAACATAAAACATTTAGTGTGATAATGAAGGTTTTTATGTAGAATATATTTAAATGCTCTCATCTTTAAAAAAATAATATACAAATATGAGTACTCGTACTTTTTGCATTGAATCGAGAATTTGGAAAACTACATTAGCAATGCCATTAAATCAAGAATGTGGATCAAATGTTTTTGAAAAAGTGTCAAGACTATATGGTGTTAGATATGTGATAGTTAATAAATGCATATACATATGTAACTTAATCGTTAGTTTTATTTGACAATAAGAATTCCTGTAGCAACATCAAATTGACAACAATGAGTCCAAAGCACAGACGAAAGGATGTCACAGAACATTTTTGAAAATGAGAAAAAGACAGTGCCTTGAACAAAATGGTGAACATTTTCAACATTTACTGTGATGTTTTATCACAATGAATGTGTTTATTTTAATCGTAAATTCTATTTTTAAATAACATAAGGTAGAAGCACTTAGGCAAGCAGCTACACAGATACGTGTGGTATTTCTCGTGCGTCCTTGGGCTTTTAGTAAAGCACATATAAATTGATAGGCGGCACCCTTCCATGATTTACAACGACCCTTAATCATTTATGGAAACCCGATATAACATAAAACAGAATTCATTTAGTATGATAATGAAGGTTTTTCTGAAGAATATATTTAAATACTCGCATTTTTAAATAAATAATGTACAAATACGAGTACTTCATTCTGTACTTTTTGCACTGAATCAAGAATTTGGAAAACTACATTAGCAATGCAATTAATTAGCATAGAAATGGGATCTTTAACTGTATACGAAAACGCAAAAACGTGGTTAGTAGCAGTATTATGAATGAGTTGTCCAAAAAGTGCATTCAAAAAACCTGATCTTTGTTACATGTGCATTAGATTACGTCAATAAAATAAATAAAAAGTCCAAGGTCGATCATTCAATAAATATTTAAAACGACTTATTCTTTCTGAAAGCCTGCACTTTATCTCAACTCTTTGCACAGATTAGTAGAAATGTTAATCGTACTTTTATCACTTGTCTTTGTTTGTGTTTCTACCAAAAGTCTACGTAAGTATCGAAATATTTGCGTTCATTTTCAAAAATTATTTGAATTTACAGCACTAGAAATCCAAAAATGCCGAAAATCTGACCCAAAACTGGACGAATGTTTGGCCAATTCTGTCGTTGACATCGATACAGAAGTTTAAACAAGGTAACAGAGAACTGGGAATTATTCCTCTGGAACCTTTTGTTATAAAAAAAACTGGAATTTGGGAATTCTAGTGCTGGAGCACTTGCTATACAACATGTATACGAAAATTTGAAGCTGTTCGGACTCACAAATTTCACTATATACGACTCCAAATGTGTGTTGCATAACACAATTTTTTTCATCGTTGGTAATCCTATCTACTATTTTAGGGTGAATTTCAGCGACGAAAACTGCCATTGGCGGTTCCAAAGCTACAAAGATGTTATCCGGATGGAAGCTAATTATAAAATAAGTGGGAAACTGTTGCTTTTTCCTATAAATGGGCACGGGAAATGTAACAATACTTTGTGTAAGTTTAACAAAAAATGTGCATCGTAATTGATTCTGAAAATCATACAATTTTCAGACGAATGTGAAACCGTGTACAACATGAGGTGCGAAAAGTACACAAAAAAGAATCAAAAACACATACGCATGACAGATATTGTGATCAAACTAAAACCACAAGGAATTGTTTTTGATTTTGTGAATTTAATCGATGGGAATGAACAGTTGAGTAATGAAGTTCTGAAGACGCTCAACGAAAATTCGATGCAAGTGTATGCAGATCTGGGTCCTAGTTTTAATGAAGCCATAGCGAAGATCGAGAAGGAAATTATCAATCGAGTGTTTTCTAGAGTGCCAGAGGATGAGTTGTTTTTGCCATAGGTTTTTATTTTCAATTTTATTTAAGGCAAAGAACAGTGTGTCTTGTAATAACATCATTTGGATTATAATTTAAATAGCCATTATTACATTAAAAGGTTAGAACAACTTCTTTTTTTTATTAATTTACAATCGTGTGTTGATACTTATATTTAATTGCTGCTGTCTTAATTAAACAATTATTGTTGTTAGAAATAAACACGTTGTCATATCTTTTTTGTAGATAATTTATTCGCAATTTTTGTGATTTTCATTATTGTTCACAAAAGAATTGATATTTTGACACTCTTCGCCGACACGTTCCACCCGAGTTTCGGAACCAAGGAGATAGTGATACGATCCAGCAACATCTCGGACATCGAGCCCGGATTTTTCCACAATTTCCCCAATTTGGAGATTCTGACGATTCGGATCAACCACGGCTTTCCCAACATCACGACGAGGGTGTTTAAGGGCTGCCGCCCTAAACTCAGCACGCTTCGCGTCTACGACAACAACTTCCGCTTCTTCGACAACCAGGTGTTCCTGCAGCTGAACAAGCTGGAGTTTCTGTGGATCGAGAAGCAGTATTTGGGGCCTCTGGAGGCCAACTACTTCAAAGGTTTGAAGAATTTGAAGAAGCTGAGGCTGCAGCACTGCCAGATCAAGCAGATTGACCCGAATGCGTTTGACGATTTGCCGGGGTTGGTGAAGATGGAGCTTCCGACGAACCAGGTGGAGAAGATCCAGCCCGGGACGTTCAAGAAGTTGCAGAAGTTGGAGAAGTTGCATTTGTCGAGAAATAGTGTTAGGAATTTTACTGGGGGGGAGTTTGATGGGTTGAATAGTTTGAAGCGGTTGGAGTTGATCGAGAATAAGATTAATTCGTTGAATGGAGAGGATTTTGGAGAATTTGCCCAAGCTGGAGAGGATCGGGATCAAGTTGAAGCTGTTCGAGTGTGATAGAGCGAAGTCTTTGGTGGAGAAGATTCAGGAGCGGAGTTTGGAACTCCTGGTTATGGCTGTTCTCCCACCATGACGGTGATTCTACTGTATCACGAAGAAAGGTGCCGTCCGAGCACGCCGTGATGGTCGTAAATTCATGGTTGGAAATCCCGGCTATTGGGGCAAGCTGCCAGCGTCACGTCATCCCCTAACTTCTATTCAAGATCTGCGTCTTTTGTGCAATTGGCGCGACCGTCAGCTCGACAAGGAACCGCACACCCCGCTTCCGCCACGTGTCCCTGTGTTATTTACCTCAATTCCTTTTAAATGTACAATTTCTATGACTCTGCTATTAAATTACAATCGAACAGGTGTAAAAGTTTCAAGAAGAGCAATAAACAACATTTAGATTCGCCATACGCTCTCGTGAAATTTAAATGTTAAATTATCTAAAACAATTAGCTTTAGGGGTTTATATCGTGGACTGTTCCTAGCTTATCCCAAATAAACGCATAACAAATAAACAAAAAGTACATCCCTCGTCGCGATAATTACGTCTCGGTGTTATAATTTAATTTCCCACGTCGCGCGAGATACGTCTCGATGATGTGATGATGATATTGTAACGAGTTTTTTCCCTTTTCGGTGCTGGGGTAGTCGGTCGAAGACTGTCACTTCCAGGACTTCAAAGAAAACCACTAGTGGTAGGAAAATATTTATTAAACACACAACGTAAGTACAGAGAGAGCATTTATAACCGGTCTTATCTTGCCACGTCAGCGACGTCAGTCGTGACAGACTGTGAGAAGAGGGGTAACCCAACTAGTGCGCCGGCTGGAGGGGATCACTCACTCTTAGGTTGCCGGCCTGGAGCGCATCGTTAGAATATCCTAAGAAGAAAAAAATTTATCCCCACGTCCCTCAGTCCACGATATTATGATTTCTGCCGCACTTTCCACGGTACTTTTCCCAGAGTTTGATTAGGTTGATTTAACTGCCATAAATGAACTATTAGCAAACTCGTGTTAAGAATTAAGAAGTGTTATGATGTAACACTTAAGTATAAGCATCCAGAAACCTTATTTATAACTTGATAAACAAGGATGAGTTCTGATTCCTGACTTCGTGAATCTCATGAAATCTTCTAGGAAGACCTTTATCTGAACAATCTCATGACTGTTAAATTGTTAAGAACCAGTGACGATTAAATTCCTAGCATCAAGTGTGAATTTACACACAATGTTAACCTCGGTCGAATATTCACCTATTTCCGATTAGAAAAACAGCAATAATTAGCTACGCTTGTTGAAGAAACTGTGGCGTCGTAATCGGTACGATTAATTTTCGTTAAACAAAGGCTCTCCCTTTTTATTAACCACCAAACCAACTAATCTTAATCTAGCTTCCTTACCGCGTGCTTTCACTTCCACCAAACAAGCAACAGTGACGCTTCTCATCCCTCTAACAAACAAGCCACTTGAAAAGAATTAAATTAGCAATATGGTTGCCTATGTTTAACGATTTTCTTCATTAATTTTGCGCCGTTGTTTTTTTTTCAGCGCGAAATTTTAATTCAACTTTGGTCACCACAGCGTATATGTAACTTAATCGTTAGTTATTACTTGACAAGATTGTCTTAGCAGTCAGAATTATTTAAATTCACAGCACCAGAAATCCAAAAATGCAGAAAACCTGACCCAAAACTCGGCGAATATTTGGCCAGTTCTGTCGTTGACTCGATACACAATTTGGAGATTTTGACAATTAGAATCAACTACGACTTCCCCAACATCATGACGAGGGTGTTTAAGGGCTGCTGCCCTAAACTCACCACGCTTCGCCTCTACGACTGTCGCTTTTTCGACAACCAGGTGTTCCTCCAGCTGAACAAGATGGAGCTTCCGACGAACCAGGTGGAGAAGATCCAGCCCGGGACGTTCAAGAAGTTGCAGAAGTTGGAGGAGTTGCATTTGTCGGGGAATAGTATTAGGAATTTTACGGGAGGGGAGTTTGATGGGTTGAATAATTTGAACTGGTTGGAGTTGATTGGGAATAAGATTAATTGTTCCAGTGTGATAGGGCGAAGTCTTTGGTGGAAAAGTTCAGGAGAATGACATTGAAATCAAGAACGTGGATCAAATGTTTTTGAAAAAGTGTCAAGACTATATGGTGTTAGATATGTGATAGTTAATAAATGCATATACATATGTAACTTAATCGTTAGTTTTATTTGACAATAAGAATTCCTGTAGCAACATCAAATTGAACAATGAATCCAAAGCACAGACGAAAGGATGTCACAGAACATTTTTGAAAATGAGAAAAAGACAGTGCCTTAAACAAAATGGTCAACATTTACTGTGATGTTTTATCACAATGAATTTGTTTATTTTAATTGTAAATTCTATTTTTAAATAACATAAGGTATGAAGAGCTTAGGCAAGCAGCTACACAGATACGTGTGGTATTTCTCGTGCGTTCTTGGGCTTTTAGTAAAGCACATATACATTGATAGGCGGCACCCTTCCATGATTTACAACGACCCTTAATCATTTATGGAAACCCGATATAACATAAAACAAAATTCATTTAGTATGATAATGAAGGTTTTTTTGAAGAATATATTTAAATACTCTCATTTTTAAATAAATAATGTACAAATACGAGTAGTTCATTCTGTATTTTTTGCGCTGAATCAAGAATTTGGAAAACTACATTAGCAATGCAATTAATTAGCATAGAAATGGATCTTGAACTGTATACGAAAACGCAAAAACGTGGTTAGTAGCAGTATTATGAATGAGTTGTCCAAAAAGTGCATTCAAAAAACCTGATCTTTGTTACATGTGCATTAGATTACGTCAATAAAATAAATAAAAAGTCCAAGGTCGAACATTCAATAAATATTTAAAACGACTTATTCTTTCTGAAAGCCTGCATTTTATCTCAACTCTTTACACAGATTAGTAGAAATGTTAATCGTACTTTTATCACTTGTCTTTGTTTGTGTTTCTGCCAAAAGTCTACGTAAGTATCGAAATAATTGCGTTCATTTTCAAAAATTATTTGAATTTACAGCACCAGAAATCCAAAAATGCCGAAAATCTGACCCAAAACCGGACGAATGTTTGGCCAATTCTGTCGTTGACATCGATACAGAAGTTTAAACAAGGTAACAGAGAACTGGGAATTATTCCTCTGGAACCTTTTGTTATAAAAAAACTGGAATTTGGAAATTCTAGTGCTGGAGCACTTGCTATACAACATGTATACGAAAATTTGAAGCTGTTCGGACTCACAAATTTCACTATATACGACTCCAAGTGTGTGTTGCATAATACAATTTTTTTCATCGTTGGTAATCCTTTCTACTATTTTAGGGTGAATTTCAGCGACGAAAACTGCCATTGGCGGTTCCAAAGCTACACAGATGTTATCCGGATGGAAGCTAATTATAAAATGAGTGGGAAACTGTTGCTTTTTCCTATAAATGGGCACGGGAAATGTAACAATACTTTGTGTAACTTTAATAAAAAATGTTCATCGTAATTGATTCTGAAAATCTTACAATTTTCAGATGAATGTGAAATTGTGTACAACATGAAGTGCGAAAAGTAGACCAAAAAGAATCAAAAACACATACGCATGACAGATATTGTGATCAAACTAAAACCCAAAAAGGATTGTTTTTGATTTTGTGAATTTAATCGATGGGAATGAACAGTTGAGTAATGAAGTTCTGAAGACGCTCAACGAAAATTCGATGCAAGTGTATGCAGATCTGGGTCCAAGTTTTAATGAAGCCATAGCGAAGATCGAGAAGGAAATTATCAATCGAGTGTTTTCTAGAGTGCCAGAGGATGAGTTGTTTTTGCCATAGGTTTTTATTTTCAATTTTATTTAAGGGAAAGAACAGTGTGTCTTGTAATAACATCATTTGGATTATAATTTAAATAGCCATTATTACATTAAAAGGTTAGAACAACTTCTTTTTTTTATTAATTTAAAATCGTGTGTTGATGCTTATATTTAATTGCTGCTGTCTTAATTAAACAATTATTGTAGTTAGAAATAAACACATTGTCATATCTTTTTTGT